TAAGCTGAAGAATGACTCAAGATTGAACTGAACCAAATAGGAACCCCAACAGATATAGCTGGTTTGTCAGTTGTAATTTGCATTTTTTAATTGGCTTATGATATGTAGATGTTACATTTCATTGTTTTGAGATCAAATTGGCAGACAGAGATATAGACATATTTACATTTCAGTATTGCAGCGTTTTACTCTAGTTAATAGAGGGCTAACATTATTTTGAATAGATGTATAATCCCATGCACTCGTACATACATGCAGATGTGCACAAATACACATTTTGAGAGAGAGAGAGAGAGAGAGAGAGAGACTATTGTAGATTTCATAAGTAAGGGCATGATGTTTTTAAGGTATTCAGTTATTTTTTACTAATATCACTTGATTTTCTTTGCTTAACCCAAACTGTAGAAAGTTCATTTATTTTAAATCCTTATAAATCCTTTTAAAATAAAAAAGATCATTAAGTTATGTCTGGGAATAAACCATGCTAAGCTCAATAAGATCTTCATTATTAAAGCTGAATTGGATTTAATGGAATGTTGATATGAGACTCAGCGAGGCAACTAATTTATGAGACTTAAACAGAAAAAATAAATGGGTTTATATACATTTGGGGATTTGTGAGTTGGATTATTTTAGCTAGGTATGTACAATCAGAAAGGCTAACTACTAACTAGTGTTTATTTTCTTTTGTTGATAAAAAAAGAATTAATCAGAATGTTTGGGTTATTTGTGGCTATAAGTATATTTATTATAAAAATTTGTCTTTGATCAGTAACACTGTAAATGCTTAGGAGAAAATGCAGAGATAATAAAATAACAATATAAAAAATGAGGTGGGTCAGTGAACAGAATATATGTGCAGTGATGTCCCGAACGGTTCGCTGGCGAATAGTTCCTGACGAACATCGCTTGTTCGCGTTCGCCACGGATGGCGAACATATGCGCTGTTCGGTCCGCCCCCTGTTCGTCATCATTGAGTAAACTTTGACCCTGTACCTCACAGTCAGCAGACACATTCCAGCCAATCAGCAGCAGACCCTCCCTCCCTGACCCTCCCACCTCCTGGACAGCATCCATTTTACATTCATTGTGAAGCTGCATTCTTAGTGAGAGGAGGGACAGTGTAGCTGCTGCTGATTTGATAGGGAAATTGATAGCTAGGCTAGTGTATTCGGTGTCCACTACAGTCCTGAAGGACTCATCTGATCTCTGCTGTAAGGACAGCACCCCAAAAAGCCCTTTTTAGGGCTAGAACATCAGTCTGCTTTTTTTCTGTGTAATGTAATTGCAGTTGCCTGCCTGCCAGCCTGTGTGTCAGGCTCACAGCATATACTGTGCCCACTTGCCCAGTGCTACCACTCACTCACTGGTGTCACAATAGCTTGCATTTAAAAAAACAAAAACTGTTTTGACTGTAATATAATAGCAGTCAGTTTCCTTCACTAGTGTGCATTTCAGGGCCTGCCCAGTGCCACCACTCACTCACTGGTGTCACAATAGCTTGCATTTAAAAAAAAAACAAAAAAACTTTTTTGACTGTAATATAATAGCAGTCAGCTTCCTTCACGAGTGTGCGTTTCAGGGCCTGCCCAGTGCCACCACTCATATCCGGTGTCACAATAGCTTGCATTTAACCAAAAAAAAACTTTTTGGACTGTAATATAATAGCAGTCAGTTTCCTTCACACGTGTGCGTTTCAGGGCCTGCCAGGGCACAGTGTCACACCAGTGCAACTCATATCTGGTGTAACAGTAGTGTACATTTAAAAAAAAATACAATTTTGACTGTAATAGATTGAATAGCAGTTAGTTGTCTGCAAGCGTGTGTGTCAGGCCTACAGCGTCTACTCTGCCAACTTCTGCCACTGCACAGTGCCACTCATATCTGTTGTCACAGTAGCTTGCACGCATAGTACCACTAATCGAAAAAAAATGACAGGCAGAGGCAGGCCACCCCGCAGGGGCCGTCGTGGTGCTGTGATTCCCTTTGGCCCTAGAATAATGCCCAGTGTTCAGAGGCCACGTACCCTGAACTCGAAAAGTTCTGAGGACATAGTTGACTGGCTAACACAGGACACCCAATCTTCTACAGCTTCCGCTCGGAACCTTGACGCACCATCCTCCTCCAGCTTAGCTTCGGGCACCTCTCAAGTTACCACTCGCCCGCCTGCCGCCACCACACTAGCACCACAGCAGCTTCCTGCTCATCTGCCCACAGTCAGGTGTCTGTCAAGGACATGTTTGAGCGTAAGAAGCCAATGTCACAAAGTCACCCCCTTGCCTGGCGTCTGACAGCTGGCTTGACTGAACTCTTAGACCGCCAGCTTTTACCATACAAGCTGGTGGAGTCTGAGGCATTCAAAAAATTTGTAGCTATTGGGACACCGCAGTGGAAGGTACCCGGCCGAAATTTCTTTGCACAAAAGGCAATCCCCAACCTGTACTCGATTGTGCAAAAGGAAGTAATGGCATGTCTGGCACACAGTGTTGGGGCAAGGGTCCATCTGACCACTGATACCTGGTCTGCAAAGCATGGTCAGGGCAGGTATATCACCTACACTGCGCATTGGGTAAACCTGCTGACGGCTGCCAAGCATGGAATGCGTGGCTCTGCAGAGGAGTTGGTGACACCGCCACGACTTGCAGGCAGGCCTGCTGCTACCTCCTCTACTCCTCCTACTCATCCTCTTCCATAACCTCCTCGGCTGAGTCCTCTTCTGCTGCTGCGTCTTGCTCCACATCAACGGCACCCCCCCAGCTCCCCAGGTACTATTCCACATCCCGGATACGGCAGTGTCACGCCGTCTTGGGGTTTACTTGCCTGAAAGCAGAGAGTCACACTGTAGCAGCACTCCTGTCTGCCCTGAACACACAGGTGGATCAGTGGCTGACTCCGCACCAACTGGAGATCGGCAAAGTGGTTTGTGACAACGGAAGAAATTTGTTGGCGGCATTGCATTGCATTGGGCAAGTTGACACATGTGCCGTGCATGGCACATGTGTGTAATCTGATCGTACAACACTTTGTGCATAAGTACCCAGGCTTACAGGACGTCCTGAAGCAGGCCAGGAAGGTGTGTGGCCATTTCAGGCATTCCTACATGGCCATGGCGCACTTTTCAGATATCAAGTGGCGAAAAAACCAAGTGAGGCGCTTGATTTGCGACAGCCATTCACGTTGGAATTCAACACTCCTAATGTTCGACCACCTGCTCCAACAAGAAAAAGTCGTTAACGAGTATTTGTATGACCGGGGTGCTAGGACAGCCTCTGCGGAGCTGGGAATTGTTTTGTCACGTTACTGGATGCTCATGCGCAATGCCTGTAGGCTCATGCGTCCTTTTGAGTTAGGTGACAAACCTAGTCAGTCGCACTGAAGGCACCATCAGCGACATCATACCATTTGTTTTCTTCCTGGAGCATGACCTGCGAAGAGTGCTGGATCAGGCTGTAGATGAGCGTGAAGAGGAAGAGTTGTGGTCACCATCACCACCAGAAACAGCCTTATCAGCATCGCTTGCTGGACCTGCGGCAACGCTGGAAGAGTATTGTGAGGAAGAGGAGTCAGAGGAGGAATGTGGCTTTGAGGAGAAGGAGGAAGACCAACCACAACAGGCATCCCAGGGTGCTCGTTGTCACCTATCTGGTACCTGTGGTGTTGTACGTGGCTGGGGGGAAGAACATACTTTCAGTGAGATCACTGAGGACGAGGAACAGGACATGAGTAGCTCGGCATCCAACCTTGTGCAAATGGGGTCTTTCATGCTGTCGTGCCTGTTGAGGGACCCTCATATAAAAAGGCTGAAGGAGAACGACCTATACTGGGTGTCCACACTGCTAGACCCCCGGTATAAGCAGAAAGCGCCTGAAATGTTACCGAATTACAGCAAGTCGGAAAGGATGTAGCAGTTCCAAAATCAATTAAAAAGTATGCTTTACACAGCGTATAAGGGTAATGTCACAGCACAACGGGAATCTAACAGGGGAAGAGGTGAAAGTAATCCTCCTCCTCCCACGACCACGCCGGCAAGGACAGGATGCTTTACAGACATGCTGTTGATGGAGGACATGCAGGGCTTTTTAAGTCCTACGCATCTCCACAGCCCTTTGGGGTCAACCCTCAGAACGACTCGACCGACAGGTAGCAGACTACCTCGCCTTAACTGCAGATATCGACACTCTGAGGAGCGATGAACCCCTTGACTACTGGGTGTGCAGACTTGACCTGTGGCCTGAGCTATCCCAATTTGCGATAGAACTTCTGGCCTGCCCCGCTTCAAGTGCCCTGTCAGAAAGGACCTTCAGTGCAGCAGGAGGTATTGTCACTGAGAAGAGAAGTCGCCTAGGTCAAAAAAGTCTAGATTACCTCACCTTTATTAAGATGAATGAGGGATGGATCACGAAGGGAGTGACAGTGGGTGATACATTCGACTAAAAAAGGCCTGATGAGGGGGACGTAACAGGGTGTCGCGGCTGCCGGCCCGCGGCGTGATATTTAAATCCCTAGCTCACCCCAGTACCTTGCCCTGTCGTGGTTTCCTGTTCCTGGTTTCCTGAGAGTGCTTTATCATTGTGAATCTGATTTCCTGGTATCCTGATCTTGGCCTTTCCCTGGTTATTCTGAATTCTGGTTTCCCTGACTTGGCTTGTGTAAATGGTATTGTGTATTTTCTGGCTTCCTTGACCTCGGCTTTCCCTTTGACCATTCTCTGTCTCTAGCGTATTAGTCCGGCCATTCTAAGGTCCGGTTTACACTCTGTCCTTTTATTTTCCTTTTCTTGCCTATGTATATGTTTACATAGTTTCTGCGTGCTGGACCACACTAGTAGTCGTGACATTGGGATTAAACTGATAAGAATAGTACTACTTAACACACCACTCCTATCTGGTGGCACATTAGATTGCACGCGCAGTGCCCCAAATTTGAAGAAGGACGACCGACCAAGCATCTTTTTCCATCTCCCGGTTCCTAAAATCGATGCCATATACACATCCACTGATAGGGGACGTAACAGGGATTAAACTGATAAGAATAGTACTACTTAACACACCACTCCTATCTGGTGGCACATTAGATTGCACGCGTAGTGCCCCAAATTTGAAGTAGGAGGACAGACCAAGCATCTTTTTCCATCTCCCGGTTCCTAAAATTGATGCCATATACACGTCCCCTGATAGGGGACGTAACAGGGATTAAACTGATAGGAATAGTACTACTTAACACACCTTATAATAACGCAGAGAGAGGCAACGCAGAGAGAGGAATCTGAAGAAGAGGAGTCAGAGGAGAAAGGTGGCTTTGAGGAGGTGGAAGACCAAACACAGCAGGCGTCCCATGGGGCTTGTTGTCACCTTTTGGGGACCCTTGGTGTTGTACTTGGCTGGGTGGAGGAAGAGACCTTCAATGACATCAGTGAGGACAAGGAACGGGACATGGCTAGCTTGGTATCCAACCTTGTGCAAATGGGGAGTTTGCGGTTGTGCAAATGGACTGTTTGCGGTTGTTTGCGGTGCGTTAAACTGGGAGTTTGGTCTGTCACTGGGAAGCGGACGTAACCCTTACACTACCTGATTGATACAACATCATACCTGATGTTTTAAAGCACGTTATTCCAAACAATTTAGGAATGTTAGGTGATTTATGCCCTTTATGGATTAAAACCAGACTCTGCATCAACTATGTAATTTTCCATGGGAGTTTTGCCATGGATCCCCCTCCGGCATGCCACAGTCCAGGTGTTAGTCCCCTTGAAACAACTTTTCCATCACTATTGTGGCCAGAAAGAGTCCCTGTGGATTTTAAAATTCGCCTGCCTATTGAAGTCTATGGCGATTCGCCCGTTCGCGAACATCTGCGGAAGTTTGCGTTCGCCGTTCGCGAACCGAAAATTTTATGTTCGCGACATCACTATATATGTGTAATTATACAAAAGAAAACAAATATCATCAAAACACATTTATTTGATGTAGGTTTACCAATAGGAATTATTTTGTAATCCAAAAGGTAATGATAAGATACAAGTAAGTGTGTGACATAAAATATTACCTATGAGTGCTTAGACAAAATAACTCCTCGTCGGTGTAATACTTGATTCTGGCCTCACATCCAGTATGTTGCCAAATCATGTAGATTCCTTCTTAAAAACATAGCCCGCATCCGCCCCTTTCTTACACCCTGTAACCCTCTTCTAATTGGTTTCCCCAAAAACTGCATTGCCCCGCTACAGTCTGTAATGAATGCTGCCGCCAGACTGATTTTCTTTTCTAGTCGGTCCTCTCACACCTCACCCCTCTGTCAGTCCTTACATTGGCTTCCTGTATTCTATAGGAGTCAATTCAAAGTGCTAACCCATACCTATAAAGCACTGAACAATTCTAGCCCCTCTTATATCTCTTCACAGATCCATAGGTATGCCCCTTCTCTGTCTCTCTGCTCTGCCCGTGATCTTCTTCTGCCCGTTGCTCACACCTGTATGGCCAACTCACAGTTGCAGGGCTTTTCACAGGCAGCTCCCTTCCTATGGAATGCCCTGTCTACCGCCATTAGACTCTCCCCTAGTCTTCAATTGTTTAAGAAGTGCCTTAAAACCCATCTCTTTAGGAAAGATTATGGCCTCCCATAGTAACCTCTACCTTACACACCTGTCTCTTGCTCTCTCCTAAAGGGCAGCACATTACTCTCTCCTCCATCTCTGCTTCACTCCCACCTTATTTGATTGCTAGTTCCTGTCCTAATGTATTTTATAACCCACCTCCTATAGACTATAAGCTCGTTTGAAAAGGGTCCTCTTCAACCTTTCATTCCTGTAAGTTTTCTTTATTTATAGTTCAATCCCCCCTCTCATAATATTGTAAAGGGCTACGGAATATGTTGGCGTTATATAAATGGAAATAATAATAATAATAATAACAACTCACAGCTTTCAGAGCCACAATCCAGCTCTGTTTAAATCACTGAATGGAGCCCTCTAATGTTAAACAGATATGAATAGGTAAAATGCTTTGGGGTGTAGATTTAGATTTGACATATTTAGGGCTCTTTCTCCAGATCATCAGTATGATTACAAGTTTGTATAATTCTTTAATTCTCAATGGCAACACAGAGGGATCTTAAATTGAAAAATAACACACCTCTGAAAATTCTGCTTCCTGTATCATGCAGTATATATCACCAATTATTATATTTGAGATTATAAATCTATATTTATATTGGTCAAAACATACAAGATTTTTTTGTTTGTATTGTTTTGTGATCCACATGTTTTGTTATAATATTTTTCTGCTTTGCATTCATATTCACATCTTTGAATGATTTTTATGTTTATATTGACTTGGACAGCCTTTCCATGGCTGCACGTTTACATAACAAGCATAAACTGGAATATGCATTAATTAAAGGGATCCAACTGAAAGGATTAGCACTGCATTGTTTTAGCAACAAAAAAAAACACGGAAAGGAATCATTTTAGGTAGTAGAGGAAAATTATATTTTAACTTTCAGGCATGTGATTGACATGTTCTGTGTCAATGATGAAGCAGACATTCCATGCATCTCAATTTTGTCGGGACAGGCCACATTATAGGGTTTTGTCTATCCATCTTGACTTTGCTCAAAAGTAGGACACCAGGGATCTATCCACCAGAAAGTGTAATGTGAATATATGCTCAGGGCTCTTGGACCTTGCGGAGTATGCTTTTACCCGGCCTTCTGGTGTCCAGCTTCATAGGCTGCTGAGGTTGAGGGATATGCTGAAAAGACACAACTGGTGTGCAGCAGTAACCTCACCAATGCCTACCCTTAAAATGTCACCTAATAATGAATGTGAATAAGTTGGTTACATAGAATTGTCTTGTTTAATAGTCATAGGGACTTATGCACGAGTTGTATTCTTGTCTCTCCAACTTACTGCACATTGCATGAGGTAAGAGGATAGACCAGGCCCTAGGTCCCTCTTGGTTTTTAGGGAAATCTGGGCACACCAGGTAGTATTTAGTTTATTTAATTAATACTGGGGTCTTTAAAAGTTTGAATTTATTTGTTTGTTCACTTATTTATTTGGGAGTCCAATATTGTCACCTCAGTGATGCCTAGCTGAAATTCTGAAGTCTGACCACAAACCTGCAAATCCAGGGTCAAGTCCGATGCTGTTCGGTGCTTAGAAACTGTCTGATTTCATATAATTCAGACACTAACCTTGCATGCTAAGAAGTGGGTTTCATTTTCTCTATAGTTTGCTAAAACAATTCAATACTTTCATCTGCCAGAGCTCTCTTTGGAAGGTCATCTTTCAACAATGGTTGTAAAATCTGCATGTGGCCTTGAATTTGCTATGGTTCAACCTTCACCATGAATCACTCTATTACAACATGGTTATTGATTTCCACAGGAAGGAGAGGATTAGGTCCAGAAAATCAGTTTTGTTATCCGAAACTGGACTGTGGAAAATATGACATTTCAGACCAAAAAAAAAAGAATCTAATATATTTTATTATCCAGAATACTTTAGCAGAGAATGTTTGTTTTTTCCTCCCAAAATCAAGCTGGCCTCTGCATTCAGAAACTGCGCTAAAAACAAAGGATTAGTTAAATGTTGTCATATTTTGTATTTACCCCATGTGTAAAAGCAGGAGGGTCCCCCACAAAATCCATTGGACTCATCTGCAAACCTTAAAGTGATGTAGGCACCCAGACCATGTACCATTTCATCTCATTGAAGTGGTCTGCATGCTGTGACCCTGTTCCCTTAACCCTGCAATGGTAGTTCTGAGAAACTGAAATATTTACTTTGCAGAGTTAAGACTGCATTTAGTGGCTGTCAAGCAGACAGCCACTAGAGGCACTTCCATGTGGTTAGGCGACTTTGGGTAGCCTAGCTGACGTTGGACGTCTTGGTGGTTAGGCAACTTTTGGTAGCCTAACTGATGCTGGACAGCCTCACGCTCTGTGTGAGTACATCCAGCGTCAGTCAATTCTCCAAAAGAAAGCATTGCAGCAATGCTTTCCTATGGGGAGTGCCTAATGCACTTGTGGTGTTCGCATGCGCATTCGCATTCGCACCCGCCATCAGGTGGTGACGTAGGGGGCAGAGCGCAGACCCAATCCCGAGAGACATCGATGCTGGAATCGGGTAAGTACAGTAAGGATTTATTAACCATTCCTTTGCATTCCTAGCACCATAATATCCCTTTAAAGGAATATTACATATTTAAATAGCTTAGTGAAATACTATATATGTGAAAAATGTCCGGCTGTCAATCAGACAACTGGTCCTATTACTTCCTGGTTTGGTTAGCTCAGTGGAGATAAAATCAAAAGGCAGTAATTGTCCAGAGCACCTGCCTTGCAAAGACTTCTCATTGAGCTGCATTGGGAAGTCTATGATTGGACATCTTGAGAAAGTGTGGTCTGGGTTAGGGAGGGGGGGAGAGGAGGTGGAAAGGCTGCAGACAAGTGATCTGCAGCTTTTGGAAGCTGTTTTAGATATATCTCCAAAGAAAAAAAATGCATGCAGTCTTTTCATTGGGGTATATCTACTAAATGGTAGTTTGTTTATTTGTTTTTATTTGTTGTATTTGGACAGTGGAGTGTCACTTTAATACTAAATCTAATCTCTTAATAATAACAGCCCTTCTCAATCCACCAATACTGATCTTATATCTTATCTCATTTTAATTATAGAATAGTATTTCTAATTTCCCAATCCCTTCCCCTCTTATCCTAAATCAGTAATATTATCACCCATTCCTTATCACTAAACATAATGTGTTAGCAATTATAATAATTACATAACACTAACTGTAGTTCAGTAACTAGAACTAAAATTCTATAACCAATAATCTCTGACACTAACCTTAATTCCCTAATGCTCTACTTCCATTGTTTCATTTAATTATTGTACACTAACATTTATTCATTATCAACCTTAAACATTCACTATTACTGACACTAATTCCCTAATATTAACTTTGCTTATCTCAAACGATAACTTTCTGGTGATTTGTTTATTAACATGACTGTACAATGGATAAGTTTCCAAACACCGAGAGTTGAGTAAAGGAGATTTCACAAAAATCAGAGGAAAGGATTGTTTACAGTAAGACCAATAAACATATGGAATTCATTGACTGCAGTTTTTTTTTACCCCCTCAAATTCATTACTGAATGTGTATCTTATTGTGGTATAATTACAAATAAGTTTTTTTTCTTCTTTTATAAAATTAACAGGTGAAGGGATGTGTTAAAGTTTGAACTTTGTTAACCTAAACCTTTTTAACTCATATCGGTACAACAGTAATGCTTACTTTGATTCTTTGACATTAAATCAAAATATTTAAAACTGATTCTTCTTCCCTGAACACAGTAATATATAAACACAATCTTTTTTTAATAGTTTCTTATCTTAGCTCAGAAATACTAACATCAAGTCTCTAACAATAACTGCATGATAAGGAATTCTAATACTCAATGATAAATTCCGATTTTATTTATTAAACAGTCATAATCCAGTGATATTATTGAAATAAAGGCTTTTGCTGACAAATATTTTCCATCTAGCACATGTGAAAAGTAATGAAAACAGTAACATCTTTGGTACAAAACATATAACAAATGGCTAATAATGTTTAGGAAACTGATGTAAAAATGTGAATTGTACTGTTTTTCAGATGGAACAGAAAAGTTAAAATACAGTATGCTATTTCTTCGACTGTTCAGTTGAGCGATTTAAATATATATATATATATATATATATATATATATATATATATATATATATATATATATATATATATATATATATATATATATATATATATATACTAAAAAATTAACTACACAGAAGACAAACAGCAACAATATCATGAGAAAATAGTTAAAGGGACACTATAGTCACCTGAACAACTTTAGCTTAATGAAGCAGTTTTGGTGTATAGAACATGCCCCTGCAGCCTCACTGCTCAATCCTCTGCCATTTAGGAGTTAAATCCCTTTGTTTATGAACCCTAGTCACACCTCCCTGCACATGACTTGCACAGCCTTCCATAAACACTTCCTGTAAAGAGAGCCCTATTTAGGCTTTCTTTATTGCAAGTTCTGTTTAATTAAGATTTTCTTATCCCCTGCTATGTTAATAGCTTGCTAGACCCTGCAAGAGCCTCCTGTATGTGATTAAAGTTCAATTTAGAGATTGAGATACAATTATTTAAGGTAAATTCCATCTGTTTGAAAGTGAAACCAGTTTTTTTTTTTTATGCAGGCTCTGTCAATCATAGCCAGGGGAGGTGTGGCTAGGGCTGCATAAACAGAAACAAAGTGATTTAACTCCTAAATGACAGTGAATTGAGCAGTGAAATTGCAGGGGAATGATCTATACACTAAAACTGCTTTATTTAGCAAAAGTAATTTAGGTGACTATAGTGTTCCTTTAAGTTAAGTAAGATTTGGACTCCCCCTATACGCAATTTATTTATTAAATCAAGAATTGTTTAGAACTGAAAATGGAATTGCAGATGTTAATTTTTTATTTCATTGTCAATTTTCCTCATGTGTTATTAATTATACCCTCAGTCCATTCTGCTGCAAGAAGCCCAACATTTTTGTGAAAGCAGGTAATAAAAATGATAGAGACACACAGTGGGAAAAAAAATATATTGAGTGAGTGACACATCTGCATTAACAGAGGTGTTCTAAATGGTTTGTTTGTGCTTTGACATAATAGATGTGTAAAATATAAAAAAAAAAATGATCATCTTAGAGTTAAGCATTTCAATTTCTTTAAATTGTGTTTAATGTTTGAATACATAAGGTTGACAACAACAACAAATACGTACAACAAAGGTGTAAAAGGCGGGGTTTAGTTATCACATGATCCCAAAAAGAAGACTTTCTGGGCATCAGATTTAGTACTTTTAATGTATCAATGAGAACAATGCATAGGTTTCTTTGAGAATACACTACAACAATTTATACCTCACTATATTTAGTCTTGAAATGTTTATTATTTTAAGTAACTTTTTTATGTTTTTTATTTTTTTATTTTACTTATCTTGTTCTAATCACTATACGGTCCCACCTGCTTACTTTGTCTGCAAGACTTAGGCCTCAAATAAATATTGTTTGTTAAGCTTTTCAAATAATTCAATATTTTTAAATATACTTTTATTTTTTTCAAAATATTAAAATATTAGGATCATATCATATATAAAAATATATATCACTATATCAAAAAATATTAAAATATTACAACATTAAAATATTTTTCACAATATTAAAATCATTAAAAACATGTATCCAAGTATACTAAATCATTTGAAAAGTTTATCCAAGAATATTAAAATTAGACATTAGATGGGTATTTCACAATGGAGACAAACCAAAGAAATTAAATAGCTATTTTTTTATAAGCTTGCGTGCCTCTTAGACAATTTGTTACACTGTATTTCCAAATACTGTTAAATGCTATTTAACTGACACTTTTTCTATAAAAAAAGGCCAATAAACATCATACATAAACAGTATGACCATAACGGACAAATCAGTTTCTCACAGGCTCCATGCTCCATATTTAAAAATCACTTGATGATGATTGTTGACCTGAACAAGTGCTATTCGAGACATTAAAAAGACTTTATTGAGATATAGATATAATAATAACCAGAAAAGGTACATTCAGATTACTTTGTTTTTTTAAAGTACATCCTGGGGATGCTACCTTTGCCCCATATCCAGGGGATGCTACTCTTAGCCAAATTAATGGTACTCAATACTCGTTTTATCTACCTGAGAGGGATCAAGGGCCGAGTCGAACCCATGACCCCCATGGGTTGAACAGATTCTACTGATGATTCATTAGCCTACACCACCTTCGCCACTTTGATTATACAGTTAATGTCAAACCAAGACCCCTATTCCTATTCCTTTTTTCTTTTTAAATTACTCCAAGTGACTAAAACCCTGAATCTCCCCTGTAACGTGTTATATTTATTATATTGTTTTACGTAATGCCCCACTTTCATTTAAATGTGCATTAAACATTTAGTTATTGACTTCACAATCCAGTTTAGTCCTGGCACAGTCATGGAACATATTGGATCAGAGGTCAAGAAACAAACATTATTTAATTTCTCCACTTCACATACTATGTTTAATGACTGAAAAGAACAGGGTTTACAACAATTATTAATAGGTAGCCAAGATGGGGGCATTCATTTCCAGAATACAAGTAAATGTGGATTTCAATATTTTATATTATTTTTCAGCTCTCACAAACATATTTGTTACATAAAGGGGATAAGCAAACATAATTTAAAAATAATTCCTGGGAGTGGACTGTTCCCCTTTAAATAAATATTCTGAACAATTCTGAAAATGGCAAAATTTCATAATAATAAGGCTTCCTTATATAAAATCATATTTTCCACATATATATTATTTACCTATTTTTACTCAGTTTTTAAATTTATAACTAGAAGTTATAGAAGTTACTAGAAGTCCGCAGATTTATATTCTACTCAATTAGTTTTATTTTTTAATTTTTTTTTAAAGATCGAGTAACATATATTTGAAACTGTGGCTGAAGAGTTAGCCCAAACACATAGGACAAATCAGTACTTTTGTTGTAATAGCTTAGCAATTGCAGAACATTTTCAATTATGGCAGCTTAAAATTTTATAGTTTTTTTTTTCCTTTCTAGAAATAATATGAATGCAATAGTTTATGGATTATATAGTATCCCTAATCTTGCAACATTTCATATTAGTTCAAATATATTAGCATATGAAAATATAATACATCGTTGTTACACATAATAGCTGAGTATTATGGATTTATGTGTACTATAAATGTTCTGCAAGCATTTTTGAGAAGGCAGATTCCCCAAAACGCCTATGTTTCTATTTTGGCATAATGCCCCGTAGAATAAGAATAATGCTACGCTAACACCCGTCATCTATTCTACATAGGGCAATGCCAATATGAGAAATATGCCCTACAAAATACAGAGTTCCCCTACTTTCTCTGGCTGCTAGAATGTAGCCCTGCAACAAGCGAGCCTATATTAAGATATGGTAAGGGAATGGGTTTCGCCCATGCCTTGTGCCATCTTCCTTTATTTGCTGGGTGAAGCCGAATGAAGGAGCAGAGAGGAAACTTGGTCATGTATACACAAAATAAATCAGTCAATTGTTAACATATTCCATATTTGTGTAATCTTTACTACTTAACTGAAATCATAAAGTAAAAATAATGCAAATGGAATCCTGTTCTCATGTGTAAAATATAAAATTAATCTAGATAATTTGGCTTAGATGATGGAGAAGATGATGATTAAGGCAATGAAAGACGAGTGCAAAATCAGCCTTGGCTAACACCTACATACGTTTGTGAATTATATCCCATGAAGCTCAGTCAGCCATCACTATACTGGTTAACTCAAGGTAGAGGTAGTATAAGTCCTCTGTTTTGTTTTAAGGAAATGTGTAAATAAAAACTAATTTGAAAAATAAATAAATTGGTAGCTCCTAAAAAAATTTTATGGAACAAAATAAAATTAAAAACTACATATTTCTTGAAAGTAGAAAGATGCTACATTACACATTTCCAACTTTTCAAAAGACAATTTTAATTGTGATATTCATACGGAGGCCAGAATGTGACTGATGGATATTTTTTTACCACATATGCATGCTGTACTATCTTGTGAGCACAATTTGGTAGACTGTGCCCTCAAAATAGTACAGCATGCACACAGGATATAGCTATCTCATGCACACGCTTTAACTATTTAATAGGCACACAAGATAAGTATATGGTGGGCAGCAAAGCTAGCATTTTAGTAAGCACTTACCTCACTAATGATGTCACGGGAGGGTCCAGCTGACATTACCACCATGTTGAAGCCCAATAGGGACTGGAGCAGGCAGACGCAGCAGGGAGCGATGCAGGTGCTTAGAAAAGCACGGGCCCTGCATACAGTTATCTTGTGGGCATGCTGTACTATCAGCACGATCAAAAGAAGAATCAGCACTGCACTTTATCCTTAGGCGGGGATCATTTCGCCCAGGCACAAAAGTTGGAGCTGTATTGAAGCTCCAAAAAAGTGTGAGTGCACATTTTTTATCATATTTATACTAACTATAGTTTTATATAGTTATGCAGTTATAGAATAAAAGACATTACTTGCTCCAGAAACACTACATCCCAAAACATGATTTAGAGTTTCTGCCGCAGATTTACATTAATTTTACAAAGTCAATCATATTTGGTTATGATATAAAAATAGTCACTTTTAGGTGTAGTCAGAATTCATGTAGAAAACATGTTTATTTTTTGAAATCTGAAAGATGAGATTTGAAAATTTGATAAACAAATGTAGGTCACTTTAAAAAAAAAATCCAAATCAATTGCGATAGCATGCTTTATAACAAAGGGGGAAATGAATTGAGTGTACAAAAGGTATACATTTTAATATAATTTCACTCATATTTGGCAGTGTAACAGTTAACCGTTATATGTGCTAGAATCAGCAATGTCTCAATTTCGGCTACAAATATTGGGCAGCAATTGGTTTACTCTTATCTGGTCTCTGATCATCATTTAAATTCCAGTTAAAACCTGGATTGTAAGCGCATGTAAGCAGAGCTCTCTCACGTGTCTACTTTCTGTTTATATTATTTTGTGGCCTCGGCTTAGAGTGGAATTGAAGGACTGTCTTTTGTTTGTGTGGTTTTCTGGTGTAGTTTTCTGTGTGCAGCTCCTATCTACCCCTGGATTACTGTATGTCATTATTTTGTTTGTCAATTACTTGCTGCAGTGCTAAATATCTTCCCTGTCAGTTTGTAAAGTCCTGCAGAATATGTTGCACTGTAAAATATTAATAATAACAATAGAATAATAACCAATAATGAGAATACAGCTTTAATAGATTAAATAGTTTGTTCGAGTTGTATTTTGTCTCTCTTTCTGTCACCCTTGTACCCTGTTTCTATGCAATCAAAGGGGCACTCTGAGCAGCAAAACGACTTTAGCTAAATGAAGCAGTTTTGGTGTACAGATCATGCTCCTGCAGTCCCACGGCTCAGTTCTCTGCGATTTAGGAGTTAAATCACTTTGTATGTGCAGCCCTAGTTGCAAATGCCCCGGTTTTGGCCTATACAGTCTTCCTACACATTTCCTGCAAAAGAGTCTTCATATTTTAGCTTCCCTTGTTCCACAGTGTGCACCAGTCTCCTGTGCGTTATAAAGTTAATTTAACAGAACGTGAGATAAAAACTTCAAAAGTAAACACACTATGCTGTAAAATCTAACAGAAAATGAAACTTTTTCATGGAGGCTGTGAGACTTCAGGGGCATGGTGTGTATACTAACAGGGATATTCTGTAAAGTGAGAATTCAAAGTGAATTGAAAGTGAATTCAAATTTAAGGCACCCGTAGCAGAACTGAAAGCATAGCTGACTTGGAGAATTTTTCCAATTTGGCTACTTTGACCTTAAATTTTAAATTCACTTTCAGTGAATTTAAATTCTTACTTTAGTAAATGATCCTGTCAAGCCACTTCATTAAGCTAAATGTGTTTCTGCGCTTAGAGAGTCTTTTTCAGGAATTCGTGCAGCATTAAAATCCAGAAAATATAGGTCACATAGAAAAGTATCTAAATTTCTGACTTTGTCATTTTACAAAAAACAAATTTTTGAACAACAGATAACGAAAATGGGTAAGTAGTTGATACTTATCTTATATGAATTTTGCAATATTTCTTCATATTTCACAAGCACTTTTATGGATGCATTTTCTAAAGCACTAATGAATCAACAATTAAGTTCAATTAGCAAATACAAAAAGCTTGATTCAAAATATTTCTTTTATAGATTTTTGGAAATGGTGCAATTCTAGTTATAAAGTTAAACAATGTAATTTTCTTTCTGAAAGTTGGCACATTTTCTTATGAATCAGACTTACAAAGTGAAAGCAATGACACCTTGGCAATATAGCAAAACCTACCAGAATGTTTTAACTTGAAAAATAAAAATACATTATTCATCAATATGGACAATTGACATATATAGACATTTTTCCAGAGACGTGATATAATTTATATTCCTTTGTCAAAATGTTCTGTCAACAGAAACCAGTTTCAAGACCATTGGCAGGAACAGTCCGTGGGTTCTTGGATAGAATAATTTACCCACGTTGAGTTTGCGCTGCAATATAATTGCACAACACGTCTCTGAAGACCAAGTTCTCTGCAGCATTTGCAGAATCGAGCGTAAGTGTTGATGTTGTAGTTGTAGATGCTGGCGGAAGGACACTTTCCATCACAAGAAACAATATTAACCTAGAGAAAAAAATAAGTGGATACATGATAGTGTACAACACAAAAAACAAACAAAAAAAAGAAATGTGTGAAATTACATGTCTTCTCGTATGTTTTTGTCTTTCCCTTGCAAATTAATGAATTTCATTAAAAACATGATATGATATTTAATGTCGTTACCCAACATAGATGCGTTTCAAAGTCATTAAAAACTATAAATGACACAGCAGTTGTTGTAAAAAGTCTCAGAGAATGTGACATGACTGTTTATAGAAGTGTGACCTTGTTCATTATGCGCTCTTTATTCCATTTCCTGCTTTATAGGGTAATGAATATTTATTAGCCTCTAAGGAAGGCCGGATTATACATTCTTAAACTCTGTTTCTACCATGTGCTTTTAACACGGTAAATTGTGCAGATATAATATAGGCAAATAAAAATGAGACGACAGAGGCCAGTTGCAGGAATCAATCAACACAGACACGTCTCTTCACCTCAATCAACACAGAAACGTATCTTCACCACAAATATACAGTTCAATTAATGTTGTGATTTGTGAGATTTGTAACTTCTAAGTAGCATTCTAATAAGATGGGTCTTGCCATTGTGAGACCATCTACAAAAAACATTAGATTACATATGTTTGTGTAGTTACATATACAGTACATATGAATGTTCTGTTTGTGTTATCTACTTTTCAAAAACATTCTAAGGCTCCACAAACAACGAAAATTGTTCTATCCATACCCAACTCTTATCACACTGCTCCTCATACGATAATGACAAAATTAGGAAATAACCAGGGGAATAATAAGATTCATGACATGGTACATCTTTTGCAGGAGTAATTCTCTTATATCAGCTAGTTGGAGATGAGACTGGTTGGTGTCTGAGAGATTTTTTGGGGGTGGAAAGTACAAATTACAATAACTAGTGAATTGCAATTTGGCACAAAATCATGGCAACACCTAGTAAATCAAACCAGGAACAGCACAGAGAAAATAAAATAATATGAAATGTCTGCAATGTTTAATTTACAAATATGCTGATTATTTAAATAGATTGTATTTTATAAATCTTTTGTAATTACAGATTTATCGTAGCATGCAAAAGTTCTCCATGAATGTTTTAAATAGCTAAATAAACAACTTTGAAGCTTAAAAATCTTTCCTGTTAAAAAATATCTTACCGGAGTATTGCTTCTACAGTCATTCTTTCTGATGGTCATGCGGACAGTTACTCTCTTACAGAATTTCCCATCTTCCTTACCTAAAAAAAAAACATATCTTAACTATTACAACAGAGGAAATATGGGGTTATTGGTAAGATATGATTGAGTCTAAAAAGATCACATTTTATGTATAGTATTAAAAAGAAAATTTGCGCAATCACTATGGAAACCAACAGAATGTTTCTACTGATTGCTCAACTTTGAGAACTTTGCCCCAGAATTTCTGCTCTTTTAAGATAGTTCCTATTGCATTTAAAAAAAAAAAAAATACTGGGCCTTATTGAATGTCAATGTTAGTCTAAGAATGTCTTGAATGAAACCTGAACAAATAAGAAAATTCTTGCACTCTTTCTTCAACATTGCTGTTATTTAATTACTACAAAAACATTAGAAACATGACACTACTTTCCAAAACTGCACTACATAAAATACCAGAAAATAAAAAATATATTAAATTATAGGTTCTGATTTCCAAAATACCTTATATGCATTTCATTTGAGTATACCATTAGCAATTACAGATCAAATATTAAAAGGAGCATATAGTTTTGGCCTATTTTTTTTTAATGCTGGGTCTGTAACTGACATAGGGATAGGCATAACAGAAAATGTATATGCAAAAGTAGATAGATTTAGGTAGATGCCCCATTATATTTAACTAGGTGCATTTGATAATTTGATATTTGTCAATATGTGTGGTCATATAGGAATGGGGGCTCTAATACCTCTCTTGCTCAACATTTCATGAATTTGATATGATGTGAAACTGTGAATAACACTATATCATACCATCAGCCATTGAGAGTTCTGCTATGGGTCTGCTGAATTACAAGGTAAAATTTGGGATATGCCTACTGACATTACAATTGAATTATATATATTATTCAAAGGTAAATAAATAAGACTGTCACATGGGCTGTTTTGAAATGTATCTTTACAAATCTAGGTCACCATAAACTCTTTTAAGCAGTTTATTGCACATTCTAAACAGATTTTTATTTATACATTCAACATTTATTAATCCAAAGCAACTTTGACCAAACTCTATATAACTATATAAATGAATCTTCCTAATCCATTCAAAACAAAAGATAACTTGCAGCTTGGAATATCTCTTTAATCCATACGTGATTAGCAAATAATAGAATTCAAACAAATAATGTGATTTTTAGATATTAAAGTCAGAGCTAGAAATTACAACATGGTGACACGACAATCAAGGCCAATGTAATAGATAATATTTTAATTAAGAACGTTATATTTTACTTACATGTTTTGCAGCAACCGTCTAAAAATGATACTACATATCCTCCCATCTAGAAAAAGAAATGTATAAAACATTATAAATATGAAAAAAAATTGTCTTTTAAGTTTGTAAACCCAGCGTGCATCCACCATTGGTTACCAAAATGGACCTTTTACTTAAAAAGAAGTCCCTTTCTATGATCAAGTGTAAACCTTATCTATAACTTGTGTGTTATTGTTGTGTTAACATACTTAAAATAACATTTGTTTGCATTATCTGGCATAACATTTTTGCTCTATCCTGCATTGGCATCCTGATTGGATACTTTGTAGCATTTTTTAAACATTTTTGTAGTAGTTAAAGTGGAATGTTAGAGGTGTATCCCAAAAGACCCTCAGATCCTTTTTAACAAAAAGAACAAGGGTGGCCAAACATCGATGTCCAGCTGCTGTCGGGCATTCTTGTAAATGTGGCTCTTAAACAGCTGGACGGGCAAATGTTCAGCACTCTTTGTGTAAGAAATCATGGTAAGCTGACTAATTTTTGGCCTTTGTTTTAAGTAAAAGGTCCACTCTAATAATTAGTTTCAAGAAAGCTAAAATCCATTTTGGCAGAAATGTGACCTGCCAACAAGGTAACCTTGAGCATTGCGATTATTTGATGACTACAGCTCCCAACGTTCCCAGTTTGCAAGTAGTTATACCACTATAATATATGCATTGCTCACCACAATAATATATGCATTGCTCAAGTTTACCATAATACTTTATGCTTTGGAATTCTATTGATTATTTATAGAAACAAATCAATAAGATAGCACCAGAATCAGCTTCGCCCACAACTATTTCTTTCTTTAAACATAGTTATTTAAAGAAATATTCATAAAGATATATATATAATGACCAGTTTATGAAGCCACATGTACGCTTTAAGAATTTTACCCAAATATTTAGAAATGTTGGTGCCTTTTAATGACACATCTGTTAATTCTGTTTATAAGTCAATCATGTGAATGAGTTAAAACTTCTAGATAAGGGTTTTATGTATGGTTCATAAACGGTTTATTATAACACATACAGCGTGATAAAATGGAGCTATAAGAAGCTAGGTCATGCATCTACAGTCCCAGCAGTATGGTCTGGTAAAAACATTTTCTATGAGATTCATCATCTACCCTATAACTTATGCTTATTCTTCTTACATGTGTTTACATTAGATATAACTAGCAAATCTAGGAATACTCAGTGGTCGATCAGTGGTGTGGAGGCTCTTTTGATGATGGTTTCATTGGTTTGGGATAAGAAGCGCTGAGCTCTAATCCCATCAGGTAAATCATTTTTGGGTGCCTTAGTATGGTTCATTTGGAGCAATGGGCAATGTCCCAGAGTCTCCATATTGTATATCTAACCAGGAGCATCCAGGGAAAACTAAAGTGTTACAAAGTACGATTACATCATGATCTTCATGCAACAATATTCCATTGAGGGAGAGATGGCTGTAATTCCACTAATTTTAATAGTTCAGATATGGAATAAACTAGAGCTACTATGGCCCCAGTTCACCAGTTATGGCTCAGTGGCATTATTTTCATCTCCATTCGTCTGTGCTAATTAAGCCTAGATTTAATGGTGGGTAAGAACCATTAAAAAACCTTTCTGTTAGGTATACATTTATTACAGGAGGTTGTGGATGTACAGGGGATGTGAGCGGGCTTTGATGGGGGCATGTAGGATAGAAATTATATAGACAGGAATTGGGTAATGCTACCATGTTTAGATAGGAAGAAGCTGAACAGATAAATTAGCACTTTGGTGCATCTAGGTAAGTTAGCTATACAAAATGTATTAGCAGCATATATGGATGGAGGGGGAAAACCATGACCAAGGTTAGCCATCACCAAAGAAACTGTGGGATGCATCTGCTATTTGATCTACATTTAGAACTTTGTCAGAAAGTTGCTGTTTATGATGAACATTTAGGACCTAAAACTTGTTAGGACCTAAAGTATTGTCCAGATGCTCATATTCTACATGGCACACTAAAACTAAGGTTTTTTGCCCAAATTATAAAAGGAAACAAATAATACTCCACACATTGTGGAAGTTCCTACTAAAACATAAAATGGAAAAATAATGGATTTCTCATGGAGCAGAGTTGGTTAGAACATTGCCCGCTCCAAGCCTTGCTTTAATTGGTTGTATTCTGTCTGTTCTAGTGTGAAATAGTTTGAGTTTAAAATGCACTGTCTGGTTTCCTGTCTAATGAGAAAGCTGAATGTTAAGAAGACTTTAGAGTTATCATAGTTTAGTAACTAGTAACCTATAACGCCATTAGTAACCTATGATACTATATGCTTCCAAATGAGCATCTAGAATTACTGTCCGTAGAGAGACCACTAACCTTTATACATTCTGTTTCATTAAATGGAGGACAATTGATGGCAGATGTTACTAATACTGGTCCTACAGATGTGTTTGTGCAGTCATATTTGACACATTTAGAATTCCAAGAAGTACCAGGCTATATAAAAAGTAAAAAATAAATAAATAAAAAATATAACATGATTCAAAATGAAATGCACGACTTGCATGTATAAGTATAAACCTTCATCTTGCATTGCAAGGTGAACCTTTTTCTAGAAGTATGAGAAATTCATAGCTATTCACTAATCCTTTGTTTGCTGGGGATGCAAGGAGTTGAAATTTTCGGAGAAAAATCCCCAAATATTTCCAGCTTTTGGCCTGAAATTTGAAATCCCCTGGACAGTCACCAACAACTACTGGTTTAGTGAATAATTATATTCCATTCATCCTTAAAGAGGGTCATAAACAGGCAAGGAGTCATTATAAACCCTGCAATACTCAGGATTAACATAGAACTTAGAAGACCCATGGCTGGTCTCATTATGGTTTTGAGTAAAATACATTGCTGATAATTGACTTCTACCAAGTGGAATTGATACCAGTCCTCCAGTTAATGCAAAAATTTTTAAAAAGCGCTAGGCAGTACTTATATGCTAAAATAACAAAACAAGAGGCTACAATTGCCAAGTAATTACAGTATTAAATAATTATCTCTTTGTGTGCAGCACATATGTTGATAGCTATAGGAAAATACTTATGAAACATATTGGATGGTTCAATCTGAATCATCATGTTTGGATCAGGGGTGGAGTGTTTGACCCAGACACATAAAAAATACAACTTTGTACACTAAATTTTCCCAGGCCCTTTTGCCATTAAGTTCTGCATACGTGGAGACCATACAACCTACATTTGGGCACGTTCTACATATAACTTTACAAATACAAAAATAGGTGTAAATTGAAATGGGTTTTTTTGGAACAAATTGAAATCCAAGTGGTTTGTTCACAGATCTTTTCATCTTTCATAATATTGGACAAAACATTAGACCCAGAAATTACATATACAAATATGCTTCCCTTATATGACATGATATGCATCGTGTAATGTAACAAAGTATGAATGCCGGTCAACATTGTAAGTGCATTTAACAATACAGGAACCCTCTTGAAAAAAAATACATGACTAGAGTTGAACGAACCCGAACTGAAAAGTTCAGGTTCGTACCGAACATTACGTTTTTTGGACCCCAGACCCGAACGCGGACATATCACTGTATGTTCGGGTTGGAGATCGGAGTTTGGTGATTTAATGACGCGTTTTGAAAGGCTGCAGGGCAGCCAATCAACAAGCGTTTGACTCGTGTGTCCGTAGAAGCCATCACAGCCATGCCTACTAATGGCATGGCTGTGACTGGTCAGTGCAACATGTGATCCAGCCTTTCACTAGTAGGGGCGCGTCTATTAAACAGTGGCTGCTCAATGTTAAAAAAAAAAAAAGAAATCCTATTATCACCCCCCAGCCGCCACCCCTGAGCGGTGGGTGGGGGCCCTAAATAACAATGGGGGGGACCTACTGTCCTCCCCCCTGTCCCCCACCCCTGAGCGGTGGGTGGGGGCCATAAATAAAAATTGGGGGGGGACCTAATGTCCTCCCCCCGGCCCCCACCCCTGAGCGGTGGGTGGGGGCCATAAATAAAAATTGAGGGGGGACCTAATGTCCTCCCACCCGACCCCCACACCTGCGCGGCAGGTGGGGGCCCTAAATAACAATAAGGGTGGGGGGACCTAATGTCCTCCCCCCTATCCCCCACCCCTGAGTGGTGGGTGGGGGCCATAAATAAAAGTTGGGGGGGACCTAATGTGGGAGCTGGGGGGAGGACAGTAGGTCCAACCTTATTGTTATTTAGGGCCCCCACTTGCCGCACAGGGGTGGGGACCAGGGGGAGGACATTAGGTCCCCCCCTTATTGTTATTTAGGGCCCCCCACCCGCCGCTCAGGGGTGGGGGCCAGGGGGAGGACATTAGGTCCCCCCCAAATTCTTATTTATGGCCCCCACCCACCGCGGAGGGGTGGGGGCAGGGGGGAGGACAGAATAGCGAGTAGGGGCTGAATATACTAATACTAAGTAATCTTTACTTAGTTTTAGTAACTGTGGCTGAAAGATCAATTTAGGTCTTTCAGCCTTTTGGTAGATAGCTCCCTAATACCGTGAGAATTAGGGGGTTATCTACTAAGCATCTGCTTGTTTTATGTTATTTTTAAGTGATTTCCCTATCCACATTTGTTTGCAGGGCACTTGTCCTACTCGTACCCCCATTTTGCTTCCTTTTGCAGCCCTCTAGCCCTTTGCAGGAGTTTTTTAGAGACATTTTTGTGGCCAAAAGTTCGGGTCCCCATTGACTTCAATGGGGTTTGGGTTCGGGGTCAAGTTTGAGCCCGAACCCGGACTTTTTTTCAAAGTTCGGCCAAACCCACCGGACCCGAACATCCAGGTTTCCGCTCAACTCTATACACGACCTTTTTAAAACTCACCAAAAGGTACCCAATGGCTTGTGAACTCACCAGAACTCACCACAAATGTTTAAAGAAAAAACACCAATTTAATAGACAGGCCTGATGAATATTTAACAAGTAACGACTTTCTGCATGCATGGTGATCTTTAACTTTCTGTGTCTATTCTTGTAGTGGTCCATTGGACCACGGCCTTATTGTCCACATTGGTCAATCACAGCATACTTCAATGAGGAGAGACTGAGACTGTCCTGGAGACTGGAATTCTTGTAATGTCATGTACAGGATCAACTTCATGCATTCACAAATACAATTAAAGTCTAGACATTTATTATAAGACCACCCACAAACCCTCTCAAAATAATACCAACCAAACATAATTTTTCTCCAGAATTAAAACAAAAATTCAACTAAAATAATGTGCAAATTATATTTACATTTATATTACGAGGGAAAAAAAATAGCAACAACAACAACAACAACAACAAATATCACCTACTCTATGGCTAAGAAGAGTGCCATTCAATAACGTTTGGACACAGGACATGTTCTTGCAGTTACCACAGCAGGTTGCTAAATCTCTCGGAGGAACGTATACCTGGTTCTGAAAAATGAAGACATCTGTTTGTTATTTAAAGAATTAAAAAAAAATTATTCATATATTATATATTTAAAACATATATAATATATGAATGTAGATTTTTTTTTATGCTCCTACTTTTTCCCCACCATTGGTGTACACTCAGTTGAAAATGTGCCAATCAGTGTGCTACAAAATATATACATAGTATATTATGTATGTATTTAGCAGTATAGTGATTGGCCAATTTTTGAACCTTTCATGCTCATCTAAATAATTTTCTCGAATCATTTGCATGGGTTAAAATAATTTGAGCTGAACTGCCACACTGACAAATTTCGGACTACCTGAACACATATTTTGTTTTCGTATTAACTAATTTGACCGTACCAAATGTTCTGTCGCACGCACGTATAATAGTAGCTGCGGTATTACAACAATAGCTTAAAAGTAAAACACTTAAAGGACTACACGTATCATGACAACTTAGCATTTTGAAGTGGTCATGGTGCCTGGAATCTGTATTTGCAGCATTTTGCCTATGAAACGCTGCACATACAGAATTTAACCCCCTTGCAGCTGGAGGTGTAACTCCACCTCTGGAGCATCACAAGAGTTCTGACCTATCTATTTCTATGCACAGAGAGTCATTCACTGACTAAGAGTGTTCACAGTGCTCTCAGCCAATGAACGGCTGATGGGAATGGCATCTGGCCTCTAGGCAAAGCTCACTACAGTAGGCTGTAGTGGTTAAAATGCTGGATAAACCCTTTAGTGTGATCTTTTATTTACGTAGAACTCATTCTGAAGTTTTACTGTCTCTTAAACCATGCCAATTACTGAAGGGGCACCAAATTTACTAAACATGTTTTATTTTTCATTTTTATTTAAATTGTAAATTCCTTACAGGTTCACATTTGGCTGCGCAGTTTAGAGATGTAATGTTGAGCCGATGGTACTTTGTAACTGGGTCGACTGAGTCTGTGCAGTGCGTTGAGTGGCAGATGCCATCGACTGTGTGCTCGATGATGGTTTGTCCTGGTCTCAGAACACCTCGGTCCTTACTCAAACACACTGTGTCCTTCACTGTAACAAAATAAGCAAAAATAAAATACTAAGGTACACCACGTATAAAGGATTCTAGTATGATAGATAGATTATAGACATCTGTTTTAATGCTATCTGCCTTTCGGTCAGATATCCACCATTAAATATACAGCTCTATGTAGGTTTAGAGATTACAAAAAAAAAGACATGGAATAAATGACTATTTTTCTATACATTAGTGCAAGTCTACATAAAAATTTAAATATACTGAAGTTTGTGAGCAACAAATGGTTAAATATCGCAAACAAAGAATATTAACGAAAAAGGTTGATTAATGGTGGAGTTACTCTGACTTTGCAATTGGCCTGTACAATTATGTTTGAAATAGTCATCTTGGGTGAAAAGTTATTTATTAAAGGTGGATTAACTGCAAAGTCATCTATTGCAACAGACTCACACTAACCAGTCTGGGTACAGTCATTGTGATTTTTTTCTACCATGTTGAAATTTGCTCTTAAAGCTGGGCCATATTGTTTGATCGAGTTTGGCTAACAGGTCAGAAGCTCCTGATGTCTTGTTGGGGCAATGCAGTATAAAAATCTGTTAGAAGGATCACCCCTTTAAATTAATTTCCCTGGAGTTAAATAAGTGACTGTCCTATGGACCCCACATTTCATATGCATTGATCTTAGTGGATATTGTGTTCCAAATAAATGATGTAAATAGTTTAATATTTTACCACATTTATACACAGTGCAGTTGCAGACATTTGCCGCACTATCTTTCCATTCCTCATCTATTTGAAGTTTTTCTCCCTAAAATGGAAGAAAAAATATTTTATGTTAAAAAGAACGATTGATATTTGTTTTTTTTTATGCATCAGATTGTCTTTTTTGATGTGTAACAGAGGTCATCAATGTCCTAAACTAATTATAGATGACAGATTAACCGAACAGTTAGCATGATACAGAACTAATCACAAAAAACAAAACAAAAAGAAACCTGGCATTTTATGCATAGAAGTGTCCTGAATATTACATGCTAGTTAAGATCTGGAGTAATTTACTCATATAAAGTACATGTAATTTCGTAAAGAGGCCATACTAGATTTAGTGTTAACAAATGGAGACTTGGTATCAGATATTACAATAGCTGAAAGTTTAGGATCCAGTGATCATCAGTCAGTGTGGTTTAATGTAATAACAGTGACTAAGTCACAACACACAAAAACTAAAGTTTTAGACTTTAGAAAAACAGATTTTTCTAAAATTAGTATATGTGTAAAGGAGTCATTGTCAGACTGGAGCGGTTTAAAAGAAGTCCAAGAGAAATGGGATTATTTAAAAGTTGCACTGCTGAAGGCAACAGAAAATTGCCCTTGCCATGAGAAGTCCATAGAAAGGTTTTTTGTTCCATGACTTTTATATGAGTGTATTTTGGTAAACGTGAAAATTTAACAAACGTCACTTTTATATCGCACATAGTGGTATATTATATGGATTTTCTCACTAATGAGCTGCATATTGTAATTTTTGAAAGCAGTGAGAATTAACCTATTTTTCTTTGATTTGTAAGTTACAGAACATTCAAAGTTTTTTGCATGCAATCTGTCTCTTTTAAGAGGAAAATAAGCAGAAGGTCACATTTTTCACCTATTTTGCAAGGTACAGAAAATCCGACTCAACTAAATTGCATTTTCCGTGCAAAAACTGTGATGTCAACTTTTGTGTGATCCATGAAAACTGTATGTGTCTGAAATTAGGCTGTGTGGCTGCAAATTACATGTTCCTCATACTACTAACACTTACCAGCTTGCACTCCGGTTTTGGGTAGGTATTGCATGAACACTCTGTGGATAAAAAGGGAAACATTGAAAGATAATTATATGTATCCTAGGATGCATATATCAGTAAATCACTTCAAAACATTTTCATATAAATATTAGATTTGGAGATTTAAATCGATCCGAATTGAAATCCGACCGAATTTGGACAGATTGTTGTTTTGTCCGAATTCTGAACCAAACTTAAAGGAACACCGTAGGCACTTTAACAACTTCATGTTATTGAAGTTGTTATTGTGCCTTCAGTAATTCCCCCGTCTCCTATCCCTTAAAACCCTTTATTTCTATGTAGAGCATTGGATAGGACTGTTATCCTGGAAACACGCCTCTAGGATGACGGCATTTGAAGAGTAGGTCGTGGAAGTTCTGACGGAGACTCAGCATTGGAGAAAAGGTGATTAATTAATTTTGTTTTATTTATTTATTTATTTATTTTAATACCTGGTGGATATTCCTAATGCTATAGTGTTCCTTTAACCCAAATTCTGAATAAACCGAATAACGAGATAGCTGGGTTGTTGTGGTTGATTTTGGATTCTGAGTTTCAAATTAGTAAACTAAATTGAATGCCAATTTTGGCCAGTGTTTGTGACTAAGTGGCTACTAAAAAAGACTGGTAATTCTAATTCCTGGGCTACCATACGGTCTCAAAAGCAACATAACCAATCGGTCAAATTTCAATGTGAAAAAAGGAAACTCAAGCCTCATATTTGACTCAGTAACTTTTGAAAACACCCTAAAACCTGTACATGGGGGGTACTGTTATACTCGGGAAACTTCGCTGAACACAAATATTAGTGTTTCAAAATAGAAAAATGTATCACAACAATTATATCGTCAGAAATAATACAGTTTGTGTGTGAAAAGTGCAAGAAAATTAATTTTTACTGACGATATCATCGTTGTGATATGTTTTACTGTTTTTAAAAGCTAATATTTGTGTTCAGCAAAGTCTCCTGAGTACCCCCCATGTACAGGTTTTATGGTGTCCTAGAAAGTTACAGGGTTAATGATAGGACTTGCGAGCCAAATTCTCTGGACTTTCAGCCTGGGTTGTCGGGCAGGTCCCTCAAATTGTAATTAATAAAATGACTTGATTATGTAAAAATATTATATAAATATATTTGTAGAATTTAAATATATATATATTTATATATAGCTATATATATATATATATATATATACATATATATATATATACATATATATATATATATAGATAGATAGATAGATAGATAGATAGATAGATAGATAGATAGATGTATTTATAATGTCATTCTAAAGCACTTTACACTCTCCTCCAGCTCTGCTTCACTCCCACCTTATTTGATTGCTATTTCCTGTCCTGTTCTAATGTGTTTTATACCCCACCTCCTATAGAATGTAAGCTTGTTTGAGCAGGGTCCTCTTCAACCTATCGTTCATGTATGTTTTCTTGTAATTGTACTATTTATAGTTAATTTCCCCCTATCATAATATTGTAAAGCGCTACAGACTCTGTTGGCGCAATATAAAGGGAAATAATAATAATAATAAGGTATATTTACTAATAGTGTTTTATTTTTATTTTTTTTATTGTATTTGGGCAGTGAAGTATTCCTTTAAAACACGTTTGCTATATGAAAAAGCAGGAATGAAATCCCAATCTTAATTCAGTCCCTGTCGATTACACCAAAAACTCTGCTTGCTTTATTTTAAGTAATAAAGATACGTGCATTTAAAAAAAAAAAAAAATTCAATGTGCACACATAACGCATCCTGTAACATAAGTGTGCAATGCTGTATTCAACCGTTCTGGTCCCTTTAAAAGAAAGGATTTTAGTTTTTCTTAGCTTGTCCTCTGAGTGAAATAGACACATGATTGTTCAACAATTTTTTTTTCACACTAGTGAAATAGAAACCCATTCTAATATTGCTGCAAAATGCTTTGCAGAGTTCTGCTTATAGAATCTGCTTTGCTCAGATATCATAAAATGAAATGTGTCTCTTCAAGTATTTAGATTGCCAGAACATGTGGGTAAGAGCTAACCGCTTTTACAAAGCAATGAGATTCATTCACTAAATGCTGAGTGGACTCAAGTGGATCAAGATGTGCTAATTCTGAGGAGATAAGCCAATAGCTTACTCTCTGGATGTTCAATAAAAAGTAATCTGACCTATTGCCCATACCAAAATCTACATACAACCACAGCATTAATGAGCAATCATTTATTATCAGCAGAAAGCCAATATAATGTGTTGAGGCTCTGTAACACAACTTCAACCTATGAAATCTTCAGTAACATTGAAAGTATCCCCACCCTTTGCACCACAAGTATTAAATAAAATACATACATATATCTTAAATTTCAAGCCCTACATGACCATCCAGTCCTTAAAATCTACATGCAACCACAAGCATGGAGAGTGAATGTCTCTTACGAGGACTAAATTGTAACTTGCCAATGGCTATCCGTGAGTGGAACTTTTAAGCATTGTATATATCCTTACTCACTGCACCATATACATTATTTCATAATGTGCCCATATGAAAGTGTGCTGGCCAATCAGTTTTGACAGTTTTTACCAAACCAGTCATCAAGACCCACCAACAGTCCAGGTTTTATCAGTATCTCCATTGGAATAATACAGGGAAATACATAAATTTTGGATTGTTGGGGGGCCATGAGCATTGGTTTGTGAACCGCTGGGATATGATGACACTTTGTCTTTTGATACTCCTCACCTTTGTGATTTGTTCAAAGAGCTAAATTTCTGTCCTCGGCACATTGAATCATCCACCAAAATGTCTTTCAAATATTTTTTTTTTGCACCGTTAAACTTTTCATAGTTTGTAATCCTTCAAATAATTACACAAATACAGCACAACCTACATATCAATTTTAACAACTTTAATCTTTATTACCCAAGGGACAGAATATCAAAGCAAGTATTCCATGTGATGAACTAAATGTCAAAATATAAAATTCTTACAAAAACATAGTTACCGGGGCAAGTGAAGGCAGGAATCACAAAAAAATATTTGCCGTAAACAAATAGTGAACCAGTGTGGAATTGATATAAAAAATAAATTAATGTTACCGCATGTCTTATAAGGACAGCAACTGTCAGGGCTCCAGATTTCAACTACAGACATTCCTAAATCACAGGTCACTTCAGGACATCGAGCGGGGTCACAAACTGCAAGCACAAAGGAAGTGATATTTAAAGAAGAATAGGGTATAGCAGAGAAACTACAGATGTGAAACAATAGCTGTTATTGGTAATAGTAATACAAAATACCCAAATGTCAATTACAGTAAACATTTACAGATGGAGTAATGGAAGCATATGACCAAATAATAGATCCATATAGAAAAATATAGAGATGTGTTTGCTTGAAGCTGAAGCAAGCAAGGTGAATTATTAGTGAAGGACCCACGTAAGATGTTTGCCTTGACGTGGCAGGTGGGCTCACATCTATGGCCATTGGAGTTACTAAATAACCTCAATTTATTTAAATATGCATAGTTATTTGGGCTAGAGCGCAGGTTACTTTTTTTCTTTGTTTTTTACTATATGATCAAAAAAAGCAGTTAATCTTTACTTTTCGCTACGAGTGAGTATGAATGATTACTTATCATACTTTTTTTTATTTAAATGATTTAAAGTTAAACATAAAATTCCATTCCCCAAGCAAGGGATAAACAATGGAAGACAGATTAAAAGGGTCAATGAGTTGGGGGCCTTGTAAAAAATATGTGAAAAATGGGCGAGTAAAGGAAGCAAAAACTGAATTTGGAGGGCAATGAATAATGGTCACAATGAGGAGCACAGAGATACAAGGGCAACATGGTGTCCTGAAGTCTATGTGTGCTCACATGGTCCAGCATTAAGAAGTTTGGAGACGTTGAGTCAGAAGAGGCTAAAGGAGGATTTGGGATGGAACTGGTTCATTAGAGAAGTTAGATGAGGTGCCAGTTAAAGTCCTGATGAATGCGTGGGTTGGTGAGAGAAGGAAATATAGCTGATTTTATCAATAATATGTGATAATGGTCGTGATAGACATTATAACTATGATGACGCCTAACAAATAAGGTTGTCCTTGTTTATAATAACACAATATGTAAACACTAGACTTAATTACAGTACAGCAAATTAAATTACATTTAGTTATTTCATGTTTCCAATTCTTGTTACATTCAAAATTGAGTCAAATTATTCCCTTATTCCCTTTAAATCCAGATGGATAATTACCGCATTGATACGGTGGGCAGCATCTGTCAGTAAAATTTCCATCCACCATTAGAATTTCTCCATCCCGACAGTTTGGGATGTGATCGGTACACATGTTGCATGCTGTAAATAAAAACAAATAGAGTCTTAAGAATGAATTAATGAAGTCAGACTACCCTTGAGTGCGTTGCAGTAGGACATCTTTAGAACATCAAATGCTTACCCATTCCAACTCTGTAAATCTCAAATAAGAATATTATTTTTTTTTTTGCTTTTCTTGGTAAGTTTCACATACACTTTATTTTTGTTATTCAATGTACCAGACAATTCAATGAAACAAAACAGACATTCAGGACATGTGGTTCATCGAGTGGCTGGAAACCTACAGCTATTTAATATTACACCCGCTCTTTACCCGTACTGCTTGTTCGTCATTTATAATCAACTAAACAAACGTTTTCAAGCTGGATTCATTTGAATGATCTTCAGTGTCCAACTGTAATACCAAATACAGGTGTTTTGCAATAATTTGGAACAGGTGCATTATTTAAATGTCTTCCAGATGTTTTCAGCTCATTTTTTTACTGCATGAAAAACAGATAAAAATACATGATAAATGGAATATGGTTGATAACACTTATGGCAATCAAAGCAGGAATAGTGTTATACCGCAAAAGTTTCTGATGCAACAGGAGTTGTTGGGATGGGTGGCAAACAGTGTTTGGTCCTCTCTGCAATGTTGTATTTGCTCAGTAGGTTCACATTTCTCAGGATCACATTCTGAAAAATATAGCACAGTTCTAAAATTGTTGGCGATCCATGGGGCAGCAACAAGCAGAGAGGGGGGAGCGAGAATGTCAAAGTTATGTGATGTGGTGGGGTGAGAAAAAGCAGGATATATGAAAGTGTGTGAGTTTAAAGGGCAGGGAGAAAATACAAGCACAATGCAAACAGAATAAAATGTAAGAGTAAAAAAGGCCAGTCAACTGGCAAGAAGAAACTAATTAAAGAGTTTAAGAGAAGAGATATAATAGGAGAAGAATAAGAATGTGAATAAGAGGTGGAAAAGAGCAAAGGGACATTAAATGCCATAAGGCATGGAAGTAAGGGAAAGAAGAGAGATATCTATACAATACTACAATATTGTGGTATTGTATAGATATCTATACAATATGGACTGATGGACCAGGACCAAATGACCATGAATATATTCCACTAAATCAGAGCATTTTCCACTGCAAGAGAGCTAGTGTACTGAAATAAACTGAAATGACTCCAGAGGGAACAGTAACGATAGCAAGACGTGAAGAAGCAATGCACTGCAGTCCACCTAGTTGGGGAAATCACTTTACACTATACACAAGGCTAAACAGTGATACAGTAAAAACACACCATAGTAATACCTGGAGGAAGAATCCTGATAATTGATGGTAGGAATTACCAGTGGGTAGTTATGAATTGTGCACAGATAGTAGCAAATTAGCTGACACTCTGTCTTGTGTCTGATGCATTTTGTCAATGGTGGACATTTGCAAAGACGAATACACCATGCCCATTATTACAGTCACCACCAAAGGGGACCTGGCACTTGGCAACAGGTGACCCAAGTTTTATGGAGATGCAGATCGGTTGACATACTACCTGATACCATTACTGACTTTTAATATTCTGATTTATTTCTGCCTACCCCAACCTGTAAACCTCCTTCTGGCTGTAACGTCATGGAATCATCTTCCACCAGATCCCGTTCTCCCATTTCACATTATTAAATTTTATATTGGATTAGCCCCATCTCTAGAATTTCTAAGTTGTTGCTACGTTCAAGGGTTTGCTCCATTTCTGTTTTAGGGTTCCAGATCCACAGTACGAGATCATGCAATGTGGACCAGATCAAGTGACAGAATAAAGGAATAGGAGACACTGGACATAAAGAAGGACAAGGAGAGAAAGAAAATAATTTACAAAAAAGGCAAACAGAAGTAAAAACTTTGCCTGAGGAATGGAGTAGGATGTAAAAGATCACTGTAGCGATGCTATATAAAACTATATGATAATATTTAACTGACTGTATGCCAGAGTCTCCATATAAAAGTCTCTCACCACATTTGTATTTAGGACAGCAAGAGTCTTCTTGGTAATAGGATGAGAGTTTTTCCGTTATGCCACATTCAGGGATTAGATCATCGCATTTGGTTTGATTGCATACTAGAACAAATGAAGAAAAACAAAGTCAAAAAAGTTTGGAAACATTGCATATAATTAAAAAAGACAAGTCTCAAGTTCTGCAGAAAGTTTATTTCTATCTCATTTAGAGAAGTCACAGCGCTGGTCATTAGAAGCCAGAGTTAGATAGTCCAAGCACATATTAAGAATTAATTTAAAACAATGTTGAATGAAAATGTTTGCTTCTTTCATGGACGTTTAAGTTGTTTTTATCTTTTTAGGAAAACATATAGAATGGTTCTGAAAATGTCATGCAGCTTTTATGAAAAAAAGGTTTTTGTAAAATAATATGTTTCTAGGCTAGCTGATACTGTCATTGTCAGAAAACATAAATTCCGGATAAAACCATCTAAATAAGGCTCAGGTCACGGGGGTCCAAGAGTGGGGGAAGAATGAAAAATAATGATCAATAAAATATGGTGTTGGCTGCATTTGAACCTTGATTTGGTTTTCAACAGATCTGGAAAAGCATTGATTGTTCCGTTGATACTGTCAGACAATTAGCGCATAGAGAGTGATTGGGATTAACCTGCTAGACAAGTTTGTTTGCAGGAGATGGGTCCTTGGGCACCCAGCGGGATCCAGGTAACTTAACAAACTGTACTAGAATGGTTTGGCTACTTACCATGAAATGGCATCAGGGCACTCCAGGCACCATAACTACTACAGTTGAAAGTTTTAGAAGTACTAAACACTGTAAGAATATATTACAATTAAAGTTCCCCTTTTCCCCCTAGTTGTGTAGGCCCTAAATAAATAAATAACTAAACCTGGTGTTCTTGCCACCTAACTCTTAAATTAAATTAACAGAACAAAGTGAAAATACATTTCCCAAAATATTTTTCTTGTTGTATTGCATTGGGTTTTTTTTTAATGAAAATTTTAAGGAAAATCTTTTATTGAAGAAGCAACATTGAAAGCTTTAAGCAATGGTATATGGCCTCTTGGTCCCCAGTGCTGGAGTTTTCTAAAAGTCAACAGAGATTAAAATGTTTTCTCCTGTTGACATTTAGGTTATTGTGACATCACTGCGGCCAGCTGGAGTTCATTAGACAGAGAACATTCCTTCAGAAGGACAAGAAAGATGAAGACCAATACTCTCCTAAAAAAGACTACTTGAATTGGTAGAAGAAGATCCCTTTGTCACAAAAATAAAACATGTGATATTATTTTAAATGGTTACTAATTTAGATTCCTATGACGTTGTATCAGATCAATGTTATCATTTGATTTTACACTTACCACAGACTTTCCGAGGACAACATGTTTGATTATCAGAAACAGAAATGATGATTTCTCCATATCTAGAGCAGTGAGGCTCCGGAACATCAGAGCAGTTGTATTCCATGGGGACAATAGAATCATTGTCAACACATTTATGCATGCAACATCCTGAAAGGGAGGTTTTCCATACGTCTCCTATTGCATGCGGCATTCCTCCGCTATCCGTACAAGCTGGGAAAAAAAGGTCAAAATTAACTACATTTTGGGGGTTTATATGCAACCTCTCAAACAAGGTTTAGAAGCAGGAGTAAATAAACTGGGAACTATAAAATATGTCTTTGGTAATCCATAAACTCTTCCAGGCCACACTTATTGTTAAATATAGTTACGTTATGTTTTTGTGATTGCGTTGAGCTCTTTCTGTGTAAACAAAACAACAGTGGAACTGAATGAATATACTGTCTAATGATTTTTCATGGGTACAATAAGAATTACTCACTAAATGAGGATCACAAATATTAGGCCATATCACAAAATTGGAAAAATTCGACCTCTTAACTTTATTATTTTATTTTTTTATTTCTTTATTCTTATTATAAATGTATTTATAATATTATTTTCTATTTATTTATTTATTCTTGTTTATTTAGACTCACATTTTGTAATTCTAATGTCATTGGAACTCTACACGGCCTGGTTTGGTAAACAAACTACAATGTATACATTTGATTGTAACATTTAACCCTTACACAATGGACAACAGTCACTTTTTAAAATAGTTTTTTTTTTCCTTTCTTTTTTGCAATGCAGAAAATTGTACATTCAAGTCCTGTTCTTTGCCTACCGCACTTTGCCTCTGGAATGCAAAGGGTGGAATATGACCGGTGCAATATGGTTCCCTGCGCACAGACGCAGCCTTCAGTCAAAGCAGAACAAGATTCAGTATCATGAAGATCGATCTCATTGTTCTGACAAGTCCGGGGCACATCACAGACAGGTAGACACGACTGGTACCTTTGTGTCTCAGGGCATTGAAATGCTGAAAGTTACAAATGTTACTTGATTAGTGTAGCTCAATGATGGAAAAGCCTAGCACTGCTGATGGTTTTGAAAACCATTTCCATGATGCTCATAAAGCCTTACAGCCTATAAATTATAAATATATATATATTATTCATGGAAAATGAAGTGTACAGATGTCTGCATTATTAAGATGAGTATTTATTATCCATGGGTTAATCAATCAATAAAAAATGAATTTCCTCTGCTTTGATTTCATGAATTTCACTTTAGAACATCAACATGCAGATACAGACTATTCCACATTCTAAATAGCTATGTATCAAGAAAACATTCTACACTTCGGATAATCAGTGCATATCGACTTACGACAATAGTCAGGGCTTCGCCATTCAATGCAAATGTTGAATTTATGACACATGGAGGCATATGCTGTTAGCGCTTTGCAGTGATCTTCAATATATTCAATGTCTTGGACCCATAACTCACAGAAAGCATCAGGAGAGACCTGCCATTTTAAATACAGAGCAATACACTTAGTGCAACATTTTTGCCACAAATTACTTTGGTGAGTCAGCAATTTTAGCAAGCAACTGCATAAAATATATTTCAAGGAAAATTGTCTTAATATGTATTCTAACAAAGAAAAGATTGTATGTCGAATATTCCCTGTCTCACTCTATAATGAATACTTATAAACGTATAACTCCATTCAATGCATCGCCTGGTTTACACATTGTTACTTCTTTTTGGTTTGAAAACATTTTCTATCCAGTCAAAGATTATGTGTAAATTGAGATGCTGAAACTATCTCAGAGTGTGACATCAGAACATGCCTTAGAATCCTGACCATGCCTTAGCTTTCCATACCATGCATGGTCTGTGATTGGATAAGTGCTACTTCCTTTTTAAAGATGGCCGCCATGCAGAAATGGGAGATTCAATTAAATAGATATTTACTGACATACTTGCTTTATGAAATATTATAAACAAACAATGTAACACATTTAATCTTTTATATAACATAACGTATAGTTAATTATCAAACTAGCTAAAACATATTTACTTAAAAAGCTATCATTTTAATTAATAATTACAAACGAAAATAATAAGACACAACATAGCAGCTGTTTATTTCTGGAATAACCAAGTGGAAAAATAAAGAAGACTTTCATGCTGTCTATCCTTGATCAGAAAAATCTAAACTGAGCTAAAAGGACAACTAAAAATCTAGATTGGTGATAGGGTGGATATCATCCCTACATTAGGGTGTGTCTGTCTTGGCTGACTCAATACATTAATTGCACATGGCTATGGGAGACCATCTTATTTATGGGCCAAACAAATTTATTTTGATGGTGGAATGAAAATACAAATGTTGGGTTACTTTTCGCCAAGAGCCGCCAAACGTTTTCTCATCACCATTTGCAAGCTCTGATAACAGCAAATGAATTTTATGAATAGTACATACATAAGGATGGCAGCTGGCGAACGCCTGGTTTAAAATCATTCCAAAACATTCTGAGCAGTCCGTAACCGAACAATTCACGTCTTGGTGCCGCTCTTTTCCAACATATTTTAACGTGTATGGCACCTGCCAGCTGTCCAGGAATTCTGCGGCGTCATCGCTTTTGCCTAGGATTCTCCCGTTGGGTAGAATGAAATCGTTTGTTGTGTTGCCATCACAAAATCCTATGAATACACAATAAACAACAAGTGTTTAACATGCAGCCCTAGCCCCAAAAGGGTTAATTGTACAGTTTGGAACAATTTTTAAATTGGATCTATCGGCAGAATTGCTGCCAGCATCAGAGAAAGCTTTTAATTTACTGCACCAGTTTCACACTTTTTAGATTAATTTACATTCATGACATTCTTAGTATAATTATTTAAATTTGCACCTGTTACTTGACAAAAATAAAAAATCATCAACAGAGTATAAACCATCATATATTTCAGGGATTGCCAAAAAAAAAGCTCCCCAGCTGTTGTAAAACTACATCTCCCAGAGTGCTTTGCCAGCATTAAGGTTGTGAGTGGCTAACATTTCCTCCCATGGTCCTTATGGTGTGTTATGATTTGATAAAGTTAAGTTCAAAAATGTTTTACAAACATTAATAACTTCCAAATTCCTAATTGGGTAGCTGCATGTAACCTCATTTTTATTTATTTGATTATTTTAATATAATGTTTAGCAAAAATGTTTTTCATTGTATATTTAGACACAAAGAACATTTCATTTCTGTGTTTTTATTTTTATTTTTTCCATAGTAATTATTCGTTTTTATTATTAAACAATTTTTTTCATGTTCTATGAATTAATGTGACTGTGTCAAAGGACCAAATATTAGGCAAAAAAAAGCCAAATACGACAAATCATCTATGAACTCATTTGATCTATTTTAACCTAAAATATTAAATAAACTTTGTATCTACTTTTCATTCCTGAGAATTCACAGTTTAAGGAAAAAAGAAAGTTAGTTTGAACACCCCAATCTATCATGCCTGCCAGTCTTCACTGCCCATGTTCGAATGTGCAGGGGACAAGATCGTTTGTCAAACGGGCCATCTCAACTTTGAAAGGCGCAATCCTGAATGTCAAAAGCGACTCCAAGACCAACCATGTACAAAGCACTGCTGAAGCACTCCTAGTCCATGGCCCTAGTACCTGGTCCCCATCTGTATCAGAATTAAAATGTGGTACAGGTGCCCAAAACCTATTTTTGAAAGGACAGTACCCCAAAATGTGGGATAGTCCCAGAATTGTTGGCAATTATGATCTATCTAGTTGCCTAATAAAATATGCAGTTTATATAACTACATCTTCTATGGCATGCCATCCATTTGTTTGCATTGGTGTTATGTCCAGGTACACGTAAAATATTTTCTGAACAATTAAATAATAATAAATAACTAATTTTTTATAAGGTTGACTTCAAAACAGTCTACATAGTTTCCATAATTAATTAAAAAGACCCAAGACATTGACTCCAAAACATTCATGTTTACAATATAAGTAAAACATGCAGCAAGATGTTTTCTTATATTTATAGCCGACTGTGGTGCAATCAATACACAGGGGTAATTAAGACCAGAAGGAAGTAGTAGTGAAAAATATGGCATTGTACTGATAGAAATAACCAAGATGGAATTAGCCTGGATGATTACATTAATTGCAAGCAACAAGTGTAGGACTGTTCTTTACAAAGAACACTGAGCATTTGTTTTAAAAAAAGGATCTTTAATTAACGCCGTTGGGAGAGGTGCAGAACTGTTTTGTCTACAACACAGAGCCTCGATGATTATACTTGGTTTGATAAAGGTTTGTGGAAATAATGCTAACTAGTCTAGGAATACATATTTAATTTCTAAACAAACATAGATTGCATGTATATGTGAACATTGTACCTAGAAATGTATTTATCATGAACACATTTATAAACATTTAGTAGTCACTTTTTATCAATAATAATAAATATTAAAATATAGTATAAGAAAATCAGAGAATGGACAAAGTGCTATAACCATGGTGAAATTTTGCTTTCAAAAGGGTTTTAGTTCATTTGAGCCATATATATTTCTTTTACTTCTCCTCTACTTTTTCCTTCTATTGGCTACTATTTATCACTTGATCTATCGACCAAATGGTGGAAAATGCACATATCAGAGTGCTTAAAAATATATACATGTTATTTGTATTATGTATATTTTGAGTAGCACATTGATTTGCCCATTTTCACACCTTTTTGATTATTATTATTATTATTATTGCCATTTATATAGCGCCAACAGATTCCGTAGCGCTTTACAATATTTTGAGAGGGGGGATGTAACAAATAGGACAATTACAAAAAAACTTACAGGAACAATAGGTTGAAGAGGACCCTGCTCAAACGAGCTTACAGACTATAGGAGGTGGGGTATTAGAAACATTAGGACAAGAAATATCAACTGGAGTGAAGCAGAGCTGGAGGAGAGAGCAAAGCACTGTCCCATAGGAGAGAGCAGGAGACAGGTATGTAAGGTAGAGATTACTCTGGGAGGCCATAAGCTTTCCTGAAGAGATGGGTTTTAAGGCCCTTCTTAAATGATTGAAGACTAGGGGAGAGTCTGATGGCAGTAGGCAAGCTATTCCATAGGAGAGGAGCCACCCGCGAGAGGTCCTTCAAGCGCGAGTTGGCCGTACGGGTGCGAGCAGCGGTCAGGAGGTGGTCACGGGCAGAGCGGAGAGTATGAGGAGGGGCATATATATAGATTAGTGAAGAGATATAAGTGGGGCTAGAACTGTTCAGTGCTTTAAATGTATGGGTTAGCACTTTGAATTGACTCCTATAGCATACAGGGAGCCAATGTAAGGACTGGCAGAGGGGTGAGGTGTGAGAGGACCGAATAGAGAGGAAAATCAGTCTAGCTGCAGCATTCATTACAGACTGTAGCGGGGCAATACGGCTTTTGGGGAGACCAATCAGGAGAGGGTTACAGTAATCAATGCGGGAAATTACTGGAGCACGGACAAGCTCCTTAGTAGCATCTTGCGTAAGAAAGGGGCGAATGCGGGCTATGTTTTTGAGTTGGAACCTACAGGACTTGGCAACAAACTAGATGTGAGACTCAAAGGTGAGACCAGAGTCAAGTATGACGCCAAGACAGCGTGCTTGCAGGGATGGACTTATGTGGATATCACTGACTTGAAGGGAGAGTGAGAGAGGAGGATCAGTATTAGGAGGAGGAAAGACAAGGAGTTCAGTTTTAGAGAGGTTAAGTTTCAGAAAGCGTAAGGACATCCAGTCAGAGATGGAAGAAAGGCAAGCAGTGACACGTTGCAGGACAGCAGGGGAGAGGTCCGGGGAGGAGAGGTATATCTGAGTGTCATCAGCGTACAGGTGGTAGTGGAATCCAAAAGAGGCAATAAGTTTACCAAGAGAGGCAGTATAAAGAGAAAATAGAAGGGGACCAAGGACAGACCCTTGGGGAACTCCAACTGAGACAGGACGAGGGGAGGAGGTATCCTTGGAAAAGGAGACACTGGATGAGTGTTGGGAGAGATAGGAGGAAAACCAAGAGAGGACAGAGTCACAGAGACCGAGCGATTGAAGAGTTTGAAGGAGGAGAGCATGATCAACGGTGTCAAAGGCAGCAGAGAGGTCAAGGAGAATAAATATGGAGTAGTGACCTTTGGATTTAGCAGAGATTAGGTCATTAGACACTTTGATAAGAGCAGTCTCAGTAGAGTGGAGAGGGCGGAAGCCAGACTGAAGAGGGTCAAGGAGAGAGTTGGAATTAAGGAAGCGGGACACACGGGTAAAGAAAAGTCTTTCCAAAAGCTTTGATGAGAAAGGGAGCAGGGATATGGGACGATAGTTAGAAGGGGAGGATGGGTCAAGAGATGTTTTTCAATTGAAAATGTTTTTCCCAAATGTTTTTCATGGATGATATTCGGACAGGCTGAACAGTCAACTGAACAAGTGTTGGAGGACCTAAACTAAATTTCATATTTGGAAAAAACTGTTTGGTCAAACTGAATTTATGTACCATGCATAAGCTTACCAAATACCCAGCCAGCTCCTTCTGCTTGAGGGCAACATCAACCCCAACTAGTATATCAATGTTTTTTTCACTAAACTCCACATTATAGCAAATGGAAATCCAAGTGGCAAGATTTAGACTAACAGAGCACTTTAAATACATTAAGCAACAGACTGGACAAAATCCAAGAATGGACAAAATCTTACATTTAAGTGATCCCAAACAATGCATAATAGCTAATAAAACGTTTTCAATCATTAAAATCATTTCAGTAACTAAAATATATTGAAATGTTTAAAAATATGCAAAATTACCTAACCCAAAAAGAAGTGAGTTTTCCATTGGTTTTATTAGAAAGGCAGAATAAAATGATGACTAGACTTGGAGATTTGTTGGGACTGAAAGCCAAATTTGGGCCAATATGGTGTTTGACCGAATTCAAGAGTTCCAAGCTGAAATATACCCAAATCACAGACTAACAGAACTGCACAATGCCAAACATGTTCGGCAGGCTATTCTGAATTCTGCCTGTGATGTCCAAAAAATAGTTTGTTGCAAAAATGAATAAATATATATATATGATTGATGGCTAGGTGACATTACTAAATGTTGAGTCTATATTTTTATAGTATTCCTTTAATAAATATTAAATATTGATTTTTTAACAGCTTCTCCTGGTTATCCCTCTATTGGTTACTTATTCTTACATAAATTGCCCCTATCGGTGTATTGCAGAATATATAGATAATATTGCATCACCCATTTCTGGTCCTTTTTGGTTTGTTTTCCTGATTCAGATCTCAACATTCGTTCTAGCTGAACCAACATCTGGCTGAATTTTGGGTGTCCCGAAAAAGGTTCTATGTTTGGAAAAAATGATTTGGCAGAACCAAAATTTCTTGCCGTGCACAAGTCAAATAATTAACATCATTATTGCCATTTATATAGCGCCAACAGATTCCGTAGCGCTTTACAATATTATGAGAGGGGGATTTAACTGTAAATAGGACAATTACAAAAAACTTACGGGAACAATAGGTTGAAGAGGACCCTGCTCAATTGAGCTTACATTCTATAGGAGGTGGGGTGTAAAACACATTAGGACAGGAATTTGCAGTCAAATAAGGTGGGAGTGAAGCAGAGCTGGAGGAGAGAGTAAAGCACTGCCCTTTAGGAGAGAGCAAGAGACAGGTTTGTGAGGTAAAGGTTAATCTTGGAGGCCATAAGCTTTCCTAAAGAGATGGGTTTTAAGGCACTTCTTAAAAGATGCCTAATAATGACTAATGCACAAGACGTCCATTTGAACGCTATTACCATGCTGACTTTTTAAGGTAATTAAATAAATGAAATACTAGATTCACAATTTCTTTATAGTTCAGATGAGACACATTTTTATATAATTAATGGATATCTAAAGGGATTTGTTGATGAATGCTATTTTTTCTAGGTAAACAGGGTCATAAGGAATAAGGAACGATTGACCCATTTACTACCCACTTACATAACTAAGCTTCCACGAACCAGCATGAGCTGCAGTCAGAGAAATATTAAGATCCCACTTGGCAGTAGGTTGGCTACCAGTTTGGGTCCCCCTCATTCTTAATATAGGGAACGTTAATGGGGCCAAGCAAATTAATGGTTCAAATCCCCAGGGGCCATGTACGTGTACATAGGAGCACTACTCAGAGGAATATTTTGCTATGAAGTAGATTCTCCCAAAATTCAGCAATGAACATATACACTCTAAAAGATATAAACTTGACCTTCATTCCAAAAATACAGTACAACGCATACAATTTCACACACACCACACACACTCACCACACATACCGGAGTTTAATTTACTCATACCATATTCCTATATATGGAATACTTTTTGAATCAAATTAAAAGCTTAATGTTAACATGTTTTTTACAAAGGCTTGTTTGCTACTTCGACCATACATATACGTTTACATGTGTATATATATATATAAAAAACAGATATCTGTTTTTACGTCTGCATCACTGGACTATTACGGCTACAATCTCTACTTGAACTCTGTATATATATACCCACACATTTTTCTGCTTTAAAACAGGCAGTTCATGCCTCGAGTTCCCTTTTAAAGCGTGGTATACTATGGTATACTTTGTACAATTTAAATACTTTCTCAGGTCAAACTATTTTCTGCCCAGCCATTTTTAGTTTTGCTTAAGTTATTCACAATGTTTATTTTGTTAATAGTTATCAAATTAATTTGCAGTTCTAAATCATGTACAATAAATTACACATTTCAATATCGGGGCATCTACATATTCTAAAATAAGACAACTTGCAATTTATCTCTCTCTCCCAGGAAACGTTTAAATAAAAAAGTATTCCACTCAGTGATATATGCTGCTCATCAACAAGAAGCTTAGAATACAAATACTTTCATATCCAAAGGCTCATTTTTAAAAATCTGTGCAGTGTAAGCCGATCTATAAAGATCAGGCTATGTGATACTGTGTTTTGCATAGTGTAAGTGGCCTTTCTGGTGTCACTAAATAACTCTGGCAATTAGGCACTTTGTACTTCTTCCCTGAATATACATTGCAGACCATTCATTAACTCAAATAAAATAGATATTAAATGTGACTCCCCTATTAATTAATCCAGTGGGAGCGATATATAAAGACATTAAAACATATGCTATGATATACCCCTTTGTGAAGTCTGAACATCGCTCAGGATATTTGAGAGAATGTAAGATTTTGACGCTTCCCATTTTGAAAGGCTTGATTGTGTAGTACTAGTTAGGGTTTCAAGCCCTCGAAGTAAATACCATCCTAAATTTAAAACCGCAGATAACATTTCCTATCAAAATGATACCCACAGTAAATCTATTACTGACTCAAGTGACAGGAAAGGTCAGATGCAGCAATTTATTTTGTGCGTACATAAGGAAAATGCATTTGCAGCAAGCTTTTCCTACGGGGAAAACAATTTCATGTATTAGCAGCCGTGACTCACTATTTAAAGAGATACAGATCTTAAGTTTAAGTATATTAACAGAGTTTCAGAATTCAGATTGCCATTTGCGCTAGTGGAGTTCTGTAAATATCTAGGCACCACTAAAATTGTTTAGATGGCATGGATGTACACAATCACACCGGCAACCCAGACCTGTCAGTGTGATTGCATACATCCGGCACACAATTAACCCCTTAAGGACACAACTTCAGGAATAAAAGGAATATTTCCGTCATGTGTCCTTAGGGGCTTAAATATCATCATTGGGTTTTATTTAAGAATGGTGTGTGGTATATCATGTTGCATGCTAAGAAAAATCTTATAGACATCATGTAAAGCCAAAGTTTAAGTACATTTCTTCAAATATTTTTTGTCTTCTGTAAACTTTTTAACTAAGTCAATTAAAAAGAAAGCAATTATAAGTCAGAATATGGACAAAGGTCTGTACAGATCTAAGTTTTGGGTAGTGTGGCCATTTAGGCTAAAGGGTTTAGATTATTATTTTGTTGTTCAGATTTTATTTACGTAGCTATTTCGTTTCGTTTTCTTTTTCAATAATTGTTTTACAAATTTGGAAGTTTGACATACTCAGAAAATCATGCATTTTCTTTTATGTCAGTATTTTGATTGTATACTGTTATTGCTATTTGCATTTGATTTTAACTTGTATGGTCCCTGAGGAAGGTCCAGTACTGAGAACGAAATGCGTTGGACCTTTGCTGTTTATATTTTATTGTTTATGGGTGATTGTTCACCTTCTAATAAAGCTGCTGACCTTTTTTATTACCTACATCCACCCTACCGGATCAACAGGAGGGACAAAAAGAGGCCCCCCAACAACATCGGGGGAGGCACCCTTGAGCGCAATTACCATCTTCATCTTGAGTCCATTTTATTAAGCGCAATATTGCTCAAAAAACTGTATTACACTATATATTTTCTTTGTTCCTTATTTTTAGATTTTACAGGCATATCCCAAATGTTCCTGGTTTTTCTATATTGCTGTGTAAAGGTAATTTTGTCTGGGTAATGACCTGGGGAGGCTGTTTTATTTATTGTTAAGATAGGTGTACTTTTACTTTGTATTCACTAAACACATTCAGATTGTGGTGATACTTTTTTTTGTATTAAGTGCTCCCTATCCTGTTCAAATAAGACATTAATAAATAGCATTTTTTTTTGTAAGTGTGTGAATGGAAATATAGTATATTTTTTATAAAGCAAGGCAATTAATTATGACTCTTAAACCACATTTTAAAGCAGATTACATCATAAACTTGTCAGTCTTGAAAAATATCCCATCCTGTTGGAATTCTAAACCTACTGGCAGTAAACACCATACAGAAGATTTTCCATACTTACCACAAAGACCCATCGACATGGGTTTACTGGTGGCATTGGACTCAATGATCATCAGACCCGTACTATGAAACCATTGAATTTTAACATTTGTTGGAGTGTCTATTAAATACATATTTCCGGTATCCACGATCCTATATCCATACTTTCTAACCATTGGCCAAGCATATCTGGAGTTCACAGCTACCTAAACAGAAAGCAAAAGAACAAGCAATTACCAAAAAAAAAAAGGTTATTTTTGAAATACTTTCAGTATTATAGTTACGTGGCACAAACTTTTAGAAGTAGTTCAGCAGTGAAACAGTTAAGAAATGGATCTCTACCATCAGACCACAATTCAAATTTGAAAGTAAATTATTAGTTGCATACTGTAGGATGCGGTTGTTAAATATTGTTGTTAAATATTGCTTTTTATGTGGACAAAAACGAATGATCAGAAGCTGAAAAAAAACATGAAAACTGTACGAGAATCCAGCCATGAAACTCTTTTATCTGGAGTCATAAAAACAAAGACATGGTTAAATAAGTTTAAAATCTGAAATACAGTGCATCATATTAGAACTTAACAAATCATCTTTTTAAAAAGTCTTCCAACTATGATTAGTGATGTCCCGAACGGTTTGCAGAACGGTTCGCCGCGGACTCATCATTGAGTAAACTTTGACCCTGTACCTTACAGTCAGCAGACACATTCCAGCCAATCAGCAGCTGACCCTCCCTCCCAGACCCTCCCACCTCCTGGACAGCATCCATTTTACATTCATTGTGAAGCTGCATTCTTAGTGAGCTGTCCAGGAGGTGGGAGGGTCTGGGAGGGAGGGTCTGCTGCTGATTGGCTGGAATGTGTCTGCTGACTGCGAGGTACAGGGTCAAAGTTTACTCAATGATGAGTCCGTGGCGAACCATTCGTGGCGAACCATTCGCGAACCGTTCGGGACATCAGTAACTATGATGTATTTGTACTGTGCAAAGATTGATGACGAATAGTTAGAAATGCGATAGAGGTTCTGATATTTAAAAACAGTTCATATCCTTTCCAACAAGTATGATACACTCATGTATCCTGGAGTTTCTAAGGGTACATTTTAGATTGGAAGCACTGAATACATTTCAACTCTATAGAAGGGACATTCATGAGATCTATGAAAAGATATTTATGGAAATTGCCTTTAAGGACACTAAGCATCATAACAGCTTTAGCTTAATGAAGCAGTGTGGATGTATGGATCATGCCCTTGCAGTCTAACTGATCAATTTTCTGCAATTTAGGAGTTAAATCACTTTTTTTTTTAAATAACCCTGATTACACATTCCCTGGCCCTGGTCAAACTTTCCTCACAGCTTCCCTTCACACTTCCTGAAAAAAATTTAACATTTCTTAGCTTCTCTTCTTGCACAGTGTGTTTAATTACGAAGGTCGTATCTCTTTCTCTGTTTATTGTCTACTAGAGCTTGCAGCAGCCTCTTGAGAGTGATTAAAGCTCAATTAACAAAGCACAAGAGCTCAATTAACAAAGCGCAAGATAAGAACTTCTAAAGTAAACACACTGTGCTGTAAGACCTGATTAAAAACAAACTTTTTTTTCCTTTTAGCAGTGTGTGTCACACCCAAAGGGAGCTGTGGCTAGGGCTGCATAAACAGTGAGACTCCAGGGACATGATTTTTACACCAAAACTGATTTGTTAAGCTGAACTTGTTTTAGAGCTCAGAACATCCCTTCATTCACATTAAAGTTGACCTGTTTGCTTATAAAAAAAGATACATTTTGTGTCTGAAAATTCTCCAAAACCCCAGGATATGTAGGCTATTAGCTCTCACCAAACCACAAACATACTGACACTGACTTAATTTCCATAAGCATTAATGAGCTTATGCAAGCAATGTTTTATGAGAACAGCAATTGTTTTTGTACGTTGTAATCAACTTGCCAACTGTAGAAAGGTATTGGCTGAACTACGTGTTACAGAAAAATAAATCATGACATCATGTACAGTAGTATTTCTGGAGCAAAACTGGGAAACCATGCAGTTTGGAATATAGGGACAGAAAGTGTACGTGTGTGGAAAATAAAGAATTATTTTTAAAAACTTACTAAAATGAAACTATTTTTTTTTTAAACAAATCTACAAATTTATTTATTTTGTTATGCCTTTTCCCCATGGCTTACAGAACTATTTAGCATACAATGAGCTACAGAAAACAGTACCATGTATCTCACATTTCATATGAGTGGTTACAAATTTTTTTCTAGGAAGGGAGTTTCAGAGCTGTGTACAGTAGAAAGCATTCACTATTATCTAAGTGACAAATCTTACTTCACACCCGTTTCAAAATCCTGGCATCTTGAGGAGGCAGCAAATGGCTTGGAAAATAACAATTAATGATTTCTTCTCAGCTATATTACATACCCATACAAAACATAAATTATATCAAAATGCACAGACAGTATTCTTACAATGGGGGAGGGGCAGAGGTGTAGTAGCTAGGTCACTTGTCACCAGCGGCGGAAATCTTTTTTGGCACCCTCCTTAAATTTAAACATTTGTGTGTTGCTTTCGCACCCACTCATCCCTTTGCATGTATCCCTTGACCCTTCTTGTGTTTTTATCCTAACTCCCCTTTCAACCTTGTGTGTCTCATTAGTTGTTTAACTTTCTTTGGTGCCTCTTAACCCACGTTTCTTTTTCTGTATATTCTAACCTTCCCCCACCCACCCCTTATACTACCAGACACACAGAGTCAGATAAACACAGGCACACACTAGTCAAGTGCACACAGTCAGATACATACACTATGAAATATACAGTTACACACACACAGGCATGCACACATCGCACACACCACACACAGTCAATAAAACACAGTCATATACAGTCATATATAGTTACAGTCACACACACACACAGCCACAGTTACAGTAATACACAGTCACACACGCACAGTTACAATCACAAAACACAGTTACATGCGCACACACAGTTAGAAGGACACACAGTAATATACACAAACACACAGTTACTGCTACACACACAGTTACATACACGACCGGCATGGTCTCGCTGACACCACAAGCTTATCTGCTCGTCGGCAAGTCGGGAGCCGCTCCTCTGCTTTCTCTGGGCGTCGCGCCCAAATCAAAGATGGCGTGGACCACGTGGTCACGTCCATCTTAAGCTCTGCCCCACAAATTAATACAAATGTGCGCGTGACGTCACAACGTCAACGCACGCGCATGTTCTGGGGTCAGAGGTCACCCTCTGACCAATCAGAACCCAGAGAGGGATATTTAAATCCCTAACTCACTCCAGTTCCTTGCCCTGTCGTGGTTTCCTGTTCCTAGTTCCAGAGAGTGCGTTTATCTTTGTGAATTTGACTTCCTGGTATCCTGATCTTGGCTTTTCCCTGGTTATTCCGAATTCTGGTTCCCCTGACTTGGCTTGTTTAAATGGTATTTGAGTATTTCTGGCTTCCTTGACCTCGTCTTTCCCCTTGACCATTCTCTATCTCTAGCGTATTAGTCCGGCCATTCTAAGGTCCGGTTTACGCTCTATCTTTTTATGTTCCTTTTCTTTTGTATGTATATGTAGTGGACCACACTAGCAGCCATGACAGTATGACGCGCTACTAGGCTAAACAAAGACCACAACAGGGCACTGAGGGGGAGGGGAGGTTAGTTAATATACACACACGGTGTGTCTGATTGGATATTCTCCAATTAGTGTTAACCACACTAAGGCGTTTTTTCCCTTCTTTGTGGTCTCTGAGGTCATTACAGTGTGCCGGGTCACATAACCGGGTCTGGCACACATATAAGGATGCTGCTCTGGAGCGTGCAGCATCAGAAACACTGTCAATCTGGAGCACGGCAGCGGGGACAGTCGTACGCCGCAGACAGGGACCAAATGGAGCCGCTCGCAGTGATGGGGAAAGCAGAGGTAAGGAGGCAGGGGACCTGACATGCACAAATTTACGAGCAGCGTGGAGGCAGGGGACCTGACACACACTCATTTACAGACACACAAGCAGTTACATGCACTTACACACACAGTTACACACACAGTTACAGTTATACTCACAGTTACCAAATCTACCTTTTGGGTTCTACCGCTATGGGCACCGTTGGTGTAGGAGGAGCGAAGGACGGAGCATTCCCTGGTGTGTAGTGATTGAAGAAGCTTCCTGCTTCCCGCTCAGCAAGTGGCTGATTGCAGAAAGGCATGGACCTGGGATGGCCGAGCAAGTCTCTGGCGCCCAGAGCACATGCTTCCCCCAGCACCCCTGTAGTTTTGCAGTGGAGTGGGGACTGAACATTGTATTGCTCTTTACCTCCTTTCTTTACCTCCTTTTACCTACTTCTTGCTCTAAACATTGCATTTTAAAGCAGTTTTTATTAAAATCATATAAAATATATAACACTTTAGAAAAACACATTTTGATCAGAAACATAAAAATATAAATAAAAAAATATTAGAAGCAGATTGAGTGTAATAACTTACTTTTCTATTCAAACGGTCAATAAAAATTTGGTTGGATAGGTGCGTCAGCTCCAGAGCAGACAAACATAAGGTGACTTCACTCCTGTTGTTATTCTGAATGTGAAAGTATTTAGTTAGTTATTTAATATATTTATTAGTCATTTCAAATAAAAGACAAAAGTATTGATAAGTTGCAATAATCATAAACTTTCTCTTTTTTTAAAGCAATTCTAGCTTTAACTAGTATTTATGTTTACAGTGTTGGTGAAGTAAAGCAACTTATTTATTATTTTTAATAATGATGGCTTACTTGTATATATGTATGCGTGTATTTTTAATATTATTGGATATAATCATCTATCTTATTTTCACATTAATTGAAGGAAAACTATAGGGCCAGTAACACAAACATGTATTCCTGACACTACATTGTTAAAATCCTGCCCCTCCCCCCCCCCCTGCCCACACTAAATATAGTAAAATCTTATTTTTGATGCAGTCTACTACTGCTTGCTCTGCCCCTAATCTGCCTGCTTGACTGACATCATCAGACGTGTTGAACCCAACCAATCACAATGCTTTCTCATAGGAAAGCATTGGATTGGCTGAGACTGTAAAGAAGGCAAAACATGGTCAGAGCCAGCACAAGCCAAACACAGCACTGGCCAATCAGCATCTCCTCATAGAAATGCATTGAATCAATCTCTTTGAGGGAAGTTCAGTGTATCCATGCAGTGAATGGAGACACTGAATGGCAGTCACACTGTGCAGCACTTCTGCAGGAAGCACCTCTAGCAGCCATCTAAGGAGTGGCGATTAAAGTTATCCCTAAGCTGTAATGAAAACACTGCATTTTCTCTGAAAAAACAGTGACTGCAAAAAGCCTGAAGGGAATGATTTTACTCACCAGATCAAATGCAATAAGCTGTAGCTATTCTGGTGACTATAGTGTCCCTTTAAATTTAACTGAACTGAATCCTGGTTAACAGATATCACCAGTCATTTAATTGACCTTGGTAAGGCTGCATCCAACCAACCAAGAATAAACCCTGAGGTTTAAACAATCTTTTGAATTGTTGTATTATGTAAAGGTTATAATTAATGGAGTATTATGTAAAGGTTATAATGGTATTAACTTGTTTTCATTAAATTTAAATACAATTTTAATAATTGTCTAACAATCGATAAGCATATTATTTTAAGGAAATGGACACCTAATAAACGTACATATAGTCACCTTTCTCCTTTATAGTTCTATGCCAGATGTTTTCTGTCAAGGTTAATGATAAAAGCATAGATAGGAGTGGTCATTATATAAATATTAGGTATTGTTAAATGATATTTTAATTGATTTAAATAGAAACCCTCCCTCCTCTTTCTTTAAACCAGATTTCACTTGTTATTTAATGTTGCTAATGGAGAATGTTAACATGTTTCTATTTCCATAAAGCATCTTACAATGTTTCTATTTTAATACAGCATAGTCTATTTCAATAATCCCACTCAGCTCACAACAACTGGGCACATAAGAGCATTTCTGGGAAGCTTCCACCCTACCTGAGTACAATGCTCTCCCCGGCTGTTCCCACCTCCTATAACCTCCAGTCCAGCACTAGCATGATATGTAGCATACCGCAATAGAAAAATAAAGTCGATCCTCATTTTCCTACAGAGCACCGCAATTATGGAATAACCTCAAGGACACAGTCAAATCTTCATTCAATCTAAAAATTTTGAAGAGATCTATGGCAATATACCTCAGCACAGAATGCACCTGTCGTGGTTGTATATATTTATTACCTGTTATGTATTAAATTTAAATATGTGTGTATGTATATACTGTATATATATTGTTTGTATATTGTATCTTTTGTAATATTGTATCCTTTTGTAACAATGCAATGTTTTGTGGACCCAGGACATACTTGAAAACGAGATGAATCTCATTGTATCCATCCTAGTAAAATATTTTATATAAAATAAAATAAATAAATACACATTGAGTCAAATCTCCTAACTACTGTAATGGCACATAATGCAATGTCCTTTTAATTGTATCTCACATATATATCTCATCCTTCATTCACAGACATGTGTACATGTGTTCCATTAAAGTCAGATTTAAATCCCATTTAAAAGACTACAAATAACTCTCTCACCCACGTACACAGTTGCACGCCACTAGGGTTATTTACTATAGTAAAACATGTTGGGAATTCAAAGATGATTTCAAACTGAATTTCAAATTTAAGGCCAAAATAGCTAAATTGCAAATATTCTCCAAGTCGGCTGTACTTCCATTTCAGCAACTTTAGTTAAAATTTGAAATTTACTTTAAATTCTCTTAGAATTTTTGAAAATTCACACTGTAGTAACTAACCCTTTTTATAATATGTAGTAAATAAAATTGACAAAAACAAAACATTATTGCAGAGGATGCACGAATAGTGGGTGGAGCGACTATCAACGTACCCAAACCCTTAATTCCAGGTCATAATATCATAGAGTTGCCTAACACTTAGCCTGGAGGGGTTAAAACATATGCTCCTTGCAGTGTGGGTACCAGAGAGCACACCAAGAATAGACGTCAACACTCTTTCCTTTTTATCCCTACACATTATTTTTCTTTTTTTTTAAAGAAAATGTTACACTTTATACATGGTAAAAACACTTATATATTTTTTTAATGATAGTATAACTTTTGTTTTATCTGATTTAATTCAACATACAAATTCTTAAATTGTGCTTTAGTGAGTATTTGCTCAGTATTATGCAAGAGTTGGCCTTGTCTCTCAATCTGCCTATCTATATCTTCCTACATCTCTTGTTCCCCCTTGATGAAATTTCCTCCTCACTTAATTATACTCTCACCCAAACCTTCAGGGCTTCACACTCTCATTATAAATCAATCTGTTCAAGAATGCTTAGACACTCACTTCATCGCAAACCTAGGAATCTTCAACAAGTGCAAATACACCGATCTCCTATATTGCTTATAGTGCATATGTCTACAGAGCTCGCTGCTGTTGAATTTTCTTTTGATTTAAAATATTAATAAAATAAATATTAACCCCTTTATGTTTTTGTTAGCATAACTATGGATTGCACAGCTAGCTATCAATGTAGGTGAAAACGCCGATTTATAGTATCTATTCGGAAATACATAAAAAATCCGCATGACGTACATATACACAATTTTTATTTTTTAGTTATATATGCAGTCTTTACAGAATAATTTTTTTTTTTTTTTGGGTGGGGGGTAAGATGTTTTAACAACTATAAAGTATCTCTTGTCAATATTTAACACAGGGTCTGAAATATTGCCATAAAAGCACAAATACCGATTTTGTTGCACACAGTAGATGTGACAAAACTAAATAAATACATTTAGTCAAATAATCCGTTTACTGTTTTGTAAGAATGCATGATGGCATTATTAGCAATACCCTATCCTAAAAATGGCAATATAATCTAACATAATGGCATTGATCTCTTTATTTCTATGATGACATTGGAGTTCTCTTCCCCCTTCCCCTTTTTGTTAAAATGCAGCTATAATTTTTTTTTTTTTTTTCTTAAATGCTTTCTTTGCTGCGAGGGAGGGGGGAGCCTGTTATTTGTACCTCAAATGCATAGACTCAATGGAACCCTAGTAGTAAATGTGTATCCTTCCAAGCTACAAATCATGAAATAATTTTTTTTTTTTTTTTTTAAAGTAAAAGAGGTTTATGGGCTATATTTTGCTAAGCAATTCTGTCTAATACAAGATAAAAAAATATGGTAGTGAAATAGTTAACGGATAAAAAAATTCCTTACCCCGTTTGTTGGCTTGCATTTTGAGACTTGAACTGTTATGGATTCGTCCTCAGTTAGACTTAGGATGTATGAAGCTTCTTTAAACAAAGCCAGGTAACTCCCATCGAACGTAACAAAACTCATGTCGGAGAAGATTGAGCAGCGACCTAGATGGGCAATATTTATCAAATTTACCGTTACAGGTATATATGTATATAATTTCTCTGGCCCTTGCTGAAATTATTAAGTTCTAATATATATGAAAATCCCACATTTCTTTTCAGATGACAGCATTTTATAAATTATTTTAAATTATTTCTTATTATTTCAATAAGCATTTAGCGTTACAATCCTAATGATTTTATCCTGAGAAATATCATGTCCCCTAGTGTGTCACTACAGGCTGTGTATACTACCCAGAAATATAAAAGAAAATACATATTGTGCACATAGGAGGCTTGTATGCAATGATAAATATGAGAAAATAAGTGGGGGCGGGAATAATCCTTGAGCCAGCAGTAACTCCCCCAAACTAATAGCTACTACAACCACTTCCTCCACAGATATCTGCCATTGTAGATGTATAATATTAGAAGCACAATGCTATTCCATGTAATGTTTATTTTCTATGTGTTTTATTGTATTCGCAGATATCTGACATTAGACCCAACATTTGATATAAGTTTATTCGCACAAAAGAAAACGGCAGTAAATTCTAAAACGATTTCACAATTTTAGTTTAAAATTTTAACCAGATCAAAGATTTTAGCCAGGCATCAGTTACTGTATCACAAAATATTTAATTCCTTTAATAATTTCTCAACAATTGCTCATCTCGGCCTCAAACGAATATTATTGGATAAGCTTTTTAAATTATTTAATATTTTTGGATAAACATATAAAAAAAATGTATTTCAAAATACTAAAATATGAAAATAGAAAATAAATTTGATATGTACAAATAAATTAAAATATTGAAATATGTTTCAAGATATTACATAATTTTAAACCTTTATTCAAAAATATTGCATCATTTGCAAAGCTTACCCCAAAAATATTAAATCGAGGCCTTAGAGATTAAACCCCATCTACGTTATGTGCAGAATATTACAGGTTTTTTTTTTAAATATGATAATTAACAAAGAAAAGAACTTACAAGCACACTCCCATTTGGGGCAACATTTGTCACCATTTATTTGAACAGCAAATCCCAAGAGTCCACAGCTGGGCTGTGTGGCGTTATAAGGGCAGTGCTGGGATTTGTTGACCTGTATTAACTGTCCATCCACACATATGTGCTTTATACAGTCGTTTTCTGTGTACGGCTAAAAGAGACAATATATTGATTATGTTAACCATAAGCCAATACCAATGCTGACAACTGGTTTTAAAGAAGAACGGTCCAGTAAATAATGCATTCAAACTTTACCTCCGCTGCACTACTGTGTTACAGCAAATTTGCTGTCTCATGATGACTTGAAAATAAACATACGCATTTGGACAACTAATACAGAAATACCAGTTTATGCACTACAAAATTTTACTTTTTTATGTACTTTGCTGGAAAAGTATGTAATTTTTTTTTTTTTTAAACTATAAATTGCTAAGGTTTAGTTATGTTAAAGTGACATTTCCTCTTTAAAGCAAACAATGGATACATTGTAAACCTTCCCTATATCTTAAATGTTCTGTAACCACTACAATATATACTGCATATGCAACTATCTAAACTGAAATGCAACATTTAGGCTTAAAGGGGCACAATAAGCACCAGAACTACTACAACTTAATGTGTCTAGAGTCCGTCCCTGCAGGCCCGAGAGATGCATTGGCTATTTGTAGTGCATGCACACGAGCCTCCGAATGATTCCCAGTGGAGAAGCATTGGATTGTCTGCAATCAGGTTTCATGGAATCCAGGATGCCAGGGGACTAAAATTAGTCATTTATGTTCATTAAATATGCCATACATTTCACACATTTAATACAATTGTATGTTATTGACTGTTGCTTTTAGAAATCTTTATTGTTGCAATTAACACTAATCAGAGGTGCCCTGACCACTGACGTCTATGAAAAAGCTATCAAACTACTCAGATATAAAACTGGATCCATTTTATTTATGAGAGCGAAATCAGTTTGATTATATTGCACTTACAAATAAACCTACAATATGTGAGATCACTAAAGACATATTATGGCAATGCTCCAATATAGCCCAAGAACAAATGATTAATTATCTTACTTTGCACTTAACATATTAAACACTGTTTTGTGATTTATTTGTTACTAGGTAAATAATTCCAGTGTTAATACGTCTAAGAAATTACAATTTCAGGCTATTCTTGGCAGACACACTCTTTGGGTCACAAATGAAGGGTTAATGCAATCTGTGTTTCAGCCAATCTATGAAGGAATAAATATTGTAGGTATTCCATGTAACTTACTATACAAGTCTGGATGGTTGCAGTATCAGAGGGTATTATGGTTGAGGCAGAAATTCCTTCATAGACATCTTCTGTTTTTGTATGGTCCCCAGGAAGAGCTGTGATAGTCCCTGGCTGTGTTATAGATGAAACTGAGATAGATCCTGTAATTAATGGCGCTACTGTGGCATTTGGATGGACCAGGGTTGTTAACGTATGAGAAGAGGTCAATGTTGAAGCTTCAAGTTTTGGCTCGGGACTAGTTGTGAGTGTTTCAACACTACTAACCAAACTACTTATATGTGACAATTTTGTGTGAGGACTTTGTGTGGAAGTAATGTAGCTAGTATTTGTAGTTTGGGTATCAAATTCTCTATATGTGGCATTCACTGCATGTGTGGTTTGCAATGTAACTATGTCTGGCAGTTTGGAAGCAAGTTCCTCTGTTACACTGTAGCCTGTGGAATAGTTGGTTGTCTTCAATGGGGTAGCAAGAGCTTCTTCTGTGGTAGCCTTCTCAGATGATTTTGATATCTGTGTGACTGCATAAGTTAATTTATAAGTGGCACTTAGAGAGGTACTTTCAGACAAGTAATCAGTTTGTGGCTTTAAATAATCGACTGACGAAGCAGTGTGGCTTGTACCAGTCTGAGGAGTATGTGTTGTGGTTAAAAGAAATTGTGTCTTAGGTTCACCTGAAACAGTATCTCTTGTTATTATTACTTCTGGCATTGATGTCTCTTCCGTGACTAACCTAGCAGACACTGATTTGGTTGGTGTTGGCTGATGAGTGGCTAATGTTTCAGATACGCCCTCCAACTGAGTGCTTGACCGAGAAATTAATTGAGCTGTTGTTTTATAGATGTCAGTTGATGACAAGTCTTTCAAACCAGTTGTGTGCCTTGTTGACATAAATAATGTTTCTACCTTTTCTGTAGATGGCAAATGTTTTTCTGTACTTTCTTCTGGTAATGTTGTTTTGGCAGTAGATGTAGACATGGCACTGGGGAATAAAGTTATTGGAGTTGGAGTTGCAACTGGTGTAGATGTTGTATTCAGAGCTGTGACTAAACTTGTGATATGTGTTATATTAACTGCTTCGGTTAACAAAGTCTTTCTTTCTGTTGTCAGGTGCGTTTTTAATGGACTTGTAGTGGAAAAACTAGCAGCTGGATAAGCAGTAGATAATGAGGTATTAAAAGGTAAATATGTCCATCGAGTAGTAGACTGTGTGGTTCCAATGATATCTGACAAAGGACTTTTAGAGGTTGATGTGGATGTATAAATACTTGTTTCACTTAATGGAAAAATACTAGTTGTTGAGAGCAGGGGCTCTGTAACATTTGAAGTTGAATAGGTTGATGAAGGCTCTGGAGATGTTGATGAAATTGCCTCTTTTGAAAATGTTTGAGCAGAAGATGAAAATGTGTCACGTGCAGGAAAATCAGTGGGTAACAATGTCCTTTCTGTATATGGGATGGATTTTAATGATCCAGTTACATTGCCTAACTCGTGAATTGGAGATGTGTACCCCATGGTCTCCTGTTCTTCTGTTATAACTATGTGCCTTGTAGAAATTTTGTCTGTTGAGGTCTCAGTTGCATTAAATATTATTGGAGAAGTTACAGTAACTTCAGGAGATTTATATTCCACTGAAGATGGTTTTGAGGATTCAATCTTTCTTGTTTCTGTAAATGGATATTTTGTAGTACCAGTAAGATTCAGCGATTCTGTAGGAGTTTGTGTAGTAACATTGGATGTTTGAAATGTAGTTTCACCGTCTGTCATGTGTAGTTCAGGACTTGTGGACAAATGTATCAAATCCCCCGGAGATGTCAAAATGGAAACTATAGATGTCATACTGGATTTGACCTCAGATGATGTATGAATTTTTGTTATTGGTGTTGTTGGTTCTATTTTAGTTTGGATTGTTAACAATGGTAAATGTGATGTTAAAGTTGGAACCTTTGTGGTACTTTCCAAAGTGGAGGTTAATTGTGATGTCTCTGAAGATGAAGGAAATGATGATGTTGTAAAAGTGAAAAGTGTAGGAGCCAAGGAAAAGGTCAACGACGCTACACTGGAAACTCTATCAGTTATCTCAGATTCTGAGACAGTACTTGTGATTGTTTGAGGTGAAACGTATTTGCTCATTCCTGGTGAACTTGTAGTGTGGAGCAAAGAAGTAGACATTTCTGGCAACAGTGTCTTAGCTTTGGTTATGTTGCTTTCCTGAGTTGAAATTTGTTTCACTGTAAGATCACTAGAAATTTCAGTTGTTAGTACTTTTGTGGAAAGTGGAGCAGTTATTTCTGGTTTTAAGGACACTAGTTCTGTAATTAGTGAAGAAAGTGGGGGCATTGTAATATTTACATCTGGAAATATTGAGGACTCACTTATTAAAGTGTGTGTTGTTTCACTCGATTTTGTTGAAATTATAGCAGGTGTTGATAACTTTTCTTCTACGGCAGGACTAGGGGACAATGTAGATGGCACAGTTGTGGTGGTGTATGAATATAAATACTCTGGAAGTGTTTGAGATACACTCATAGTCTCCTGTGATGTAATTATTACACCTGTGGAAAATACTTCCTTTGTGGTATGATCTATGGGTATAGGCATCAAAGTACTTGAAGATGTGATAAATACTGGTTTTAGAGATTCTGTGGATACGGCAGTTGAAATACTAGGAGTATGTACTTCTTTGGGTGAAATTGCAGTTATATCAGTTCCTTGAGTAGCTGTATATGTTGAAACTTTACTGGTGGGCATTCCAGTAACAAAGTGAGAAATTAATGGTGTTGTAAAATTGGATAACATTGTCACTAAAGATCTTTCATCCGCAGTAGTTGTTGGTTTTATTGGTGGTAGTGAAGCTAGCTCTCTTGTAGTTATACCTTCTGCCTCAGCAGTTTTGATTGGTTTTGCAGATGTTGATGAGGGGACAGTGCCAACTAAAGGTAATTGTGAGCTCCCTGTGGATACACTGGATGGTGTTAGTGTAATATTAGATATTTTCGCTGTAGTTAAAGTAACTTCACCTGAAGGAGAGGAATCTGTATCAGTTTTCACTTGAGTAATTCTCGTAACATGAGGGGCTGTCACTGATTCTTCTAAAGTTGATCTGCTCCTGGTGGTGGTTTCTATGCCAGGGCTCAAACTAAAAATGTCTTCAGATGTGGGTATTACTTGAGTTATTGGTGACCACTTTGTGGCAGGTGCCTGTGAAATGTGCATTGTTACTGTTGAAAGAGATGTAGGAGTTGATGCATTTGTGGACATTATTGTATGGGGCACTACTCCTGTCATAAATTCAGACAGTTCTGTAGTTATAACACCGGATGTGGACACTGTAGATTTGGTGACTTCAGGATGCATTTGTGATGATGATGATGATGATGTAAAAGATTTACTTGGTGATGATGTCACATTAAGTGATGTTGACAGAGTGTGTCGTTCCGTCGGTGCTGGCGTAAAAGGTGGAACAGACACAGCAACTGGAGGCTCAATACCTAAAGAAAAAAAAATACGCATAAAGTCATATCTTTATAAATATATATATCAGAAATTACTTTTATACATGCTGAACATCTTAATATGTCATATTTTAATATTACAATGGAGGAAAATCTTTAAAGATGGCACAATAAAAAAAATGATCAAATTCAAATAAAAATGCAAAAAAAGAAGAAAATATGTATGTGTATATATATATATATATATATATATATATATATTTATATATATGTCACCTTATCATTTACCTTACTTTTAACCTTTAAATACAGAGGAACGTATTCACTATGAAGTCAACGGTAGTGTACTTAAAGCTGAATTACAAATTATTATGCAATACAGCTTATTTAAACATAATTCTTAGTCTTTCTTAATTTGAAATGTGAGTTTAGTTGTCTACTATTCAGTTTCATAAATAAACCCTAATGTCTTCTGCTAGCTGTATTTTATTTGACCATAATTCAGAGTTTGTTAACATGAGTGTCACATACTTTTCTGTACCCGGCGCCCGCACCGCTCCTCCCTCGGGCCACGCGGGCAGAACGCACCACGTTGCCGCACTACCGCAGTCCTCAGGCTGCGTGGCCTGAGCGGTATACTCACCTTTGGTCCTGTGAACAGCTCCCTCTGCTGGTTCGTGAGCCAAATTGCAGCTCCTTAAATAAAATGATTCCCATGATGTCATGCCCTTAAAGGAACCGTGTCATTTAGGCGACCCATGCTGTGTGGTGTCGCAGAGATGATGTGGACCAATGGAAACTCTTCTAAACCTATTTAAGGCCTGTTCTAGCCTTAACTCATTGCCCTATTGTGGTTTACATCCTGATACATGCTATATATAAGTCTCTCTTGTTGTATTCCTGTTATTGACCTTGGCTCATATTTGACTTATGATTTCTGGTATCCTGACCTTGGCTTTGTATTTTGACTAGTGATTTATCTTATCCTGACCCAGCTACGTATTAGGCTTGTGATTTTCTGGTATCCTGACCTGACTTTGTATATACTCTGTGTACTGCTGTATTCTTGACCTTGGCTTACCCTGACCTTGTTTCTTGCTGTTTTTATACGTTAAGTCCGGCCATTCTGAGGCTCGGTAACACGTTTTTTGGATCCACCTTTTGTTGGTTTTCACTTTCCAGCGTGTTGGGATAAGACTCCCGTGACAATGATACATCAAAGCATGGAATTTATGGATTAATATATTTTTTTAGGAATTCCTAAAAGACATTTCACTTGTTTTTCATACACAGGGTCAAGCAAACAACAGTAAATGCAGAGGCAATGGAATATATCTACGATTTTTTGTGTGTGTGTTTCTGAAATATTTAGTTCAATTGCATGCATTAGATTCTTGTATTAATTAAAACAGACATTTGTTTGGATAACATATTAACATTCTAATGTATCACCATAATTTAAGGTACAAAATGTTCTAAAACTACTTACAATCCTCTAGGAAGACACACTTCCGTGTAATTTCATCCAGCACCATGTGTAACGGGCATGACGGGACGCAGCCTTCCACTCTTAAAGAAAAAAGTATAATTAGAGAAAATATATGTGGATATGTACAATTATTTCCTAGAAATATATATTTACTGTTATAGTTGCTGATAGAGTTTGATTGGATAAATGTAAATTTTCTCAGAAAATCCATGACAACCATCTTTACCCTTTAAAGGTGGTGGACGTAATTATTAGACTTTTTCCAAACGAGAAATTTTGTTTCAGCCGAATAATTTTTTCCGAAGATAAAATGCCAGTTGGGCACAGCCGTCTTTCGATTCGGTAACCGAATCAAGTAAATGTATCAAAAAGGCCAAAATGGGCCAATCAGTGTGTTACAAACATTAAACAAAATATTATGCTTATTTTTTTGCTGTACACTGATAGCAGCATATGGTCCACAGATCAAGTGCGAAAAAGTAACCAATACAGGGAAAAAGCAGTAAAAAAAAGTGTATATTTATATATTATATATTTATTAAATATATAATAGATAAATAAATATTGCCTTCAAACAACTCTTTTTTTTCAATTTAGACTATTGATCCCTCTCCCCTTAAACATGTTTTGTATTGTGCATTTTGGTTAGCCTGTTATTCAGGTATATTTTTAGGAATTCGAGCAAGCACTCAATTGGCCCAAAATCGGCCCAATTGTTTTTTCACCCGGAAATGAATGTCCAAGTCTAAATATTATTAAAAAAAATAAATATTACAGGATTACACTAGGGCCACCGATACCCTTGAGTTGTATTTGTACTATAAGCACTGACTCAATACATTCTGACATTAGGTTAGTCACTCCTTCTATATAAGAGTAGGTATTTGAAAGGTATTTTTTAATTAATATATTATATAAATTAAAATAGTTAATAAACCCATGCAATTATGCAAAAATAATTACCATATTTGTATTGAATATTAATTAACTGCACGTTAATGCAGACATGTTAACCACATGTGAAAGGATTTGCATGATTATTATGGCGTACCTAATGTAGAGAGGGCCCTAGTGAAAGAAAGTGTTTTGAGTCCCGGTCTGGTTCAAACGTGTCTAAAAGGTAGATCTCCATCTGCTGTGCAACTCCAATAATGCTATGCCAGCTGGGGATCTACTATTTGCCCTTCCATGTATTTGTGAGCAGTGTTTGTGCATTTGAATGTAAGTATATTTTTGTATAGAGTGTATGTGTTCCTGTGTCTGTCTCCCTCCAAGTCAACGGTGCTACCATCAGCTCCACCATGCAGGCTCGCTGCCTAGGTGTTCTCTTTTACTCCGACCTCTCCTTCAAGCCTCATGTTCAATCTATCGCCGAATCCTGTCATTTCCATCTCAAAAACATTGCGCGCATCCGCCCCTACTTAACGCCAGATGTGACTAAGGTGTTGGTCCATTCCACTGTCCTTTCTCGCCTTGACTACTGTAATCCGCTTCTCAGTGGTCTTATGTGCTCCCAACTAGCGCCGTTACAATCCATAATGAATGCGGCGGCGAGGCTCATCTTCCTGTCCGCCCGCACCTCCCTTGCCTCACCCTTCTGTCAATCTCTACATTGGCTTCCTATAAAATATAGAGCTCAATTTAAAATTCTGGTTCTTGCTTTCAAAACTCTACATAATGCTGCTCCCACCTATCTATCCTCCATTATACACAAGTATGTCCCGTCTAGGCCCTCACGATCTGCTGAAGACTTACGTCTATCTTCTGTCCGTACTCCCACCTCTGATGCTCGCCTTCAAGATTTCTCGAGGGCTGCACCGTTTCTGTGGAACTCACTTCCCTCCTCTGTTAGATGCTCACCCAGTCTCCACACTTAAAAAAATCGTTAAAAATACACTTCTTCAATTAAACTGTTAATAGCTCCTGACTGATTCCTCTTCTGCAACTGCCATTAGTCTAATACTATCCTTACCTTTTTGTGTCATTTTACCCCACTCCCTCTAGCATGTAAGCTCATTGAGCAGGGCCATCAATCCCTCTGTTCCTGTGTGTCCAACTTGTCTGGTTACAACTACATGTCTGTTCGTCCACCCATTGTAAAGCGCTGCGGAATTTGACGGCGCTCTATAAATATCATAATAATAATAATAATAATGTAGGGGTGTATTTGTATTTACTGGTGCCATTGGAATCCAGTGATGTACTTGTGTGTAGTGTTTGGGTTTGAATGCAGAGGTGTGTTTGTATGTAGACTAGAGTTGGCGTTTGATTGTTTGAATGGATGTACATGTGCTGCCACATACATGCATACATACATACTTACACAGATATACATACACAAAGACACTGACACATACACTCATATATACACTGACACACAGATACACACACCAACACATCCGCACGCACTGACACATGCACACACCCTGACACACAGGTACACACACACAGATGCACACCCTGGCACACAGATGCACACACAGATACACACAAAAAAATGAGCTAAAGTTGTTTTTGTGCTTATAGTATCCATTTAAGTTAAATCGTTTTGGTTCTTGCATACTTACATGGAGGAGATAAAAGAAGAGAGGAGAACTTAGTGGAGGAAACTGAAAAGCATGCAATATTTCCCTCACATGCACTGCACAGGCAGCGCACCAGCCTTAAATGCCACAGGTGGCATACATAGTGACATATTAACTAGTGGCAACTGTGAATTAAATTATTCAGTCTAATTGTGGTCACCATTTTTTGAAAGGAGCATGTGATCTACAAATGTAATAACGTGTGCACTGTGAAAACTAACACTTCAATGAATTTGTTATAATGCCTGGTGAATTTGGATACTATGTATTCCTAAGGGCTTAAACCTCTTTTAACCATGTTTTAAACATAAACAGGGCCGGATTAACATAGGGGCTGATGGAGCTGCAGCTCCAGGCCTATTGATTGAAAAAAAGTTTAAAAAATATATATATTTTTTATTTTTACTACTTTTCACATGCTCTTGCTTAAGTTTGAAAATGAAGAGGGATGTAGGGGAACAAAACTGGTGTGGACTGTCTGACAATGAAATTAGTTAAGTTGACTTTGCGCACTATGCAAATTCTCTTGCTGCTTCAGTCTCTCTAACACTGTGGCATGTCCCCTTTCTTCTAAACTACATATACTTTTTTCTCTGTCCCAGACTGTAAAACTGGAGCTTCTGCCTACTAGTAAGAAGGTTAGGAGAGGAGTGGACCAGCGAGTGCTAGGGGACAACCCTTAGAAAGCGATGGGCTAGCGCATTATTAGACGCATTTATGCCAAGCTCAGGGTGCTGTCTCCTTGGTTGGTCATCCTGCATGATTGGCAGGCAGCCCGACGATAGGCTGACCATCTAATTCTTCGCCCTTTTTTAGGATGTTTGTTCCTCTTCCCCCGCCCACCGGCAGGGCCGTCTTTAATAACGAATGGACCCTGGGCAAGTGTTTGCTTGGGCCCCCTGTGCCCTGCCGCTCTCGCCCCTCACTCCCTGGTATGCAATCACGGCATCCATCCCAACGCAGTGGCGGTACTAAAGTAGAATGAATTTTATTGGGACCCCCAATTGCAAGGTTGGACTAAAGGTAGAACCCCATCTGTCGTGCAACTCCAACAATGCTTTGACAGCTGGGATTCTACCAATTTCCCATGCTTGCAGGGTTGTATTTAGCACTGAGCCATGTTAGTATGTTTGAATGTAAGCATGTGTTTGTATGGAGTATGTTTGTGTGAATGTGTTTGTATGTGGTACTGGAGTTTGAATGCAAGTGTGCATTTATGTGTAGTGTTTGTTTTTGAATGTAGGAGTGTGCTTGTATGTAGTGTTGACGTTTCAATGCAGGAGTGTGTTTTATATGTAGTGTTGAAGTTTGAATGGAGGGGTGTATTTGTATTTAAAGTTGCGGCTCAGATGCACAGGTACACACTCTGACGCACAAGCAGATACACAGATACATACACTGACTACATACAGATAAACAGGCACATACACTGACAGACACACTGACACAGGTACATATATTGACACACACACAGACACATACACTGGTAGACGTACTGACAGACATACTGACACAGGCACATATACAGACATACTGACACACAGACACATATACCAACATACTGACACACACACACAGACACATACACTGATCAACATACTGACACACATACACTGACAGAAATACTGACACCCACACACTGACAGATATACTGACACCCACATACACTGAGAAATACTGACACACACACACAGGCACATACACTGACACACACAGACTGATATACTGACACACACACACACAGACATACTGGCACACAGACAGATATACTGACACATGCATACACATGCACTAACAGACATACTGACGCACTGACAGACATACATACTGACACACACAGATATATACACACATATATACTGACACACAGACAGACATACTGACACACACACACAGACATACTGACACACACACAGACATGCTGACACACACACACATACACTACACACATACACATACACAACACACACATACACTAACACACATACACTAACACACACACCACACACATACACTACACACAACACACAAACACTAACACACAAACACACACACACTAACACAACACACATACACTAACACACACATACACACATTTTTTTTTTTTTAAATGTAATCCCCCCAGCCTCCTTACCTTTTGGAGTGCTGGGGGGATTCCCTGGGGTCCAGTGGTGGTGCTGCTGGGCTCCTGGGCGGGCTGTCTCGGTGGCCGGCGCGCGAGGGAGCACTCTGCTTCCTCTTCAGCTCCCTCGCGCGCCGCATAGGGATGCCGGCGCCGGAAGATGACGTCATCTTCCGGCTCCGGCATCAGTGCGGTGCGCGAGGGAGCTGAAGAGGAAGCAGTGAGTGCTCCCTCGCGCGCCCGCCTTCCTGCCCGACCGCCAGGGTCAGCGGGGCCCACGGGGCAGGTGCCTCGGGCCCCCCAAGAGAAACTGGGCCCGGGGCAGCTGCCCCGTTTGCCCCGCGTTAAAGACGGCCCTGCCCACCGGAATTCTGCTTCATCGAACACTGCTGTTAGAGGGTTTGGATTTACTTGAAAGTTGAAAGCGAGAGATTAGCATAGGTTATGTGTTTTCTGATAGCTATATCCTGTTAGTTTCCCTCCAGCACCACCTCCACCAGATACATGACAATTGGGAGGTATGATTGTTTTAGTGTTTTCTGTCGATATGATTCTGTAATTAGGCCCATCATGATTGTCAGCACCAGGCCCAATGGGCTCTTAATCCAGACCTGACCAGAAAGTGCTCCATACAGCACCCGTCCTGCAGGTCTCTATGTATTGTCCTCTGGTCTCTGGCTTCAATACGGACTCCTTGAACTGGGCAGCAGTGATCAGGTAAGAGACTCTCATATTCAAAAATAAGGTGTTGGTAAAAGGCTTGTAAAAATGCATTTCAAAGGTACAATGCTTTCTAATTTGTTTTTCTGAATGAAAGCCAGTATGTAGAGTTTCAGTTTAGGAAAAACGCTAATACTATTTTGAGAAGTGTTTGAAATATTTAAGAAGTGAATACTACAGGAGTCATGATAAAAAAATATCAAACCTTTCAAGTAAAACGTATATAAATATATCTTCAACGATGATTAAATATGGTACTGAAGATCTGTGTAAACTGCCAGTTTCTAAGCATTCTGGAATATGTAGTTTACATTTTTGCAGTGCCAAAGTTCAGTTATTGGCGCATGAAAGATTCTGCAAAGACTGATTTATTTACTTGTTTGTTGATTTAAAAAAATGTTATCTAAGAAGGCTATGTAATAGCTGTGTCTGATGGCATTCCGTACTTGTAATCACAAATCACATACTTTGGCAGCTTAATTCCCATAGGGAGCCAATGATTGCTCCATACCAGCATGATTTAGCAAATTCACAGCGTGCAATGATGATGCTCTGCTAAATGGCTGCATTATAATTTATTATATTCAAGAAAATGTTGCTGGATTAAAACTGAGGCCCGCCACCTGCGGGAAGCCATAATATTAATGGTTCTGCCAAAATCACATTGCTTAGCATTGACTTCATAATCCCACAAACAGTAACAAAATATCCACGGAGCATAATGCACTCATATGTAAAAGAGTTTGAGAAATATGAGGATAAAGCAAAGCTAATACCGCAATACCATTTAGATCAGCGTCGGTCAAAGTGGATTAAAATCTAAATTAATTGGTGACCTACTTACTTATTTACGTTTGCTCCTTCCTGAAATAACCTAGCAGTATGGAGTATAGTTAAGCAATTAAATAAACACTGCAAGCTCTCAAGTTAATTAACAATTAGTCATATTATACTAGGTGGGTTTATATTATTAAAGGGACACTCCAGGCTCCCACACACGTTAGATGCACTGTGTATGTTCGGTCACAGTTAGTTATACTGGGTGGGTTAATATTAATAAAGGGACACTCCAGTTTCCCACACACATTAGATGCACTGTGTAGGTTAGGTTACAATTAGTTATACTAGGTGGGTTTATATTATTAAAGGGACAATCCAGGCTCCCACACACGTTAGGTGCACTGTGTAGGTTAGGTTACAGTTAGTTATATTGGGTGGGTTTATATTAATAAAGGGACACACCAGGCTCCCACACACGTTAAATGCACTGTGTAGGTTAGGTTACAGTTAGTTATACCGGGTGGGTTTATATTATTAAAGGGACACTCCAGGCTCCCACACACGTTAGGTGCACTGTGTAGGTTAGGTTACAGTTACTTATACTGGGTGGGTTTATATTATTAAAGGGACACTCCAGGCTCCCACACACGTTAGATGCACTGTGTAGGTTAGGTTACAGTTGGTTATACTGAGTGGGTTTATATTATTAAAGGGACACTCCAGGCTCCCACACACGTTAGATACACTGTGTAGGTTAGGTTACAGTTAGTTATACTGGGTGGGTTTATATTATTAAAGGGACACTCCAGGCTCCCACACTTGTTAAATGCACTGTGTAGGTTAGGTTACAGTTAGTTATACTGGGTGGGTTTATATTATTAAAGGACACTCCAGGCTCCCACACACACGTTAGGTGCACTGTGTAGGTTAGGTTACAGTTAGTTATACTGGGTGGGTTTATATTATTAAAGGGACACTCCAGGCTCTCATGCATGTTAGGTGAACTAAGTTTATATTATTAAAGGGACATATGTCTCTAGCTAAATTGGTATTACAAACTATTTGGATTTATGGCATTGATAAGTGAAGGGTTGATACCTTCAAACTGTGACAGTTCTAATGTAACACTGGTTCTGAAGGAGTCAAATACACTTTAAAAACAAACTTTCAATCCATTAGTTGTATGTTCCATTGATTGATTTAATTTTCTTCTTTGGTACACTTCAATAGACAGTTTAAAAAAACATAATGGGTAAAAGAAATTATCCGAAGGAGCAAATAAATCTCTTTTCCTACCTTGGCACGTCCTTGCAGTGTTCACCATCTGGGTCTCTGCAGGTTCGGAAACAAGCACTGGAACAAGCATCGTATTTCCAGTCACATGTGGATCGAGGTGACAGTTTTGCTGTAAAATCTAAAAAATAAAAGTATCCAATTAATTGTCCAGTATGTGGATCTACATATAAATATTGGTGATTGCCATATTCACTGTCGGCTTCAGTTAAATATAAAATTCGGACGTGGTTCCAAAAATAATAATTAAGGTAAAGCATTCAATTCTAGCTAGTGAGGCACTTCAGTTAGTAAGTGCACCAATAATATTACTTGTTTAAATTTCCTAGCTAAGCCTACCACTCTCCTAATTTCCACAAAGCAAGCACCATGAACTACAATGGATTAGCTACAGCACTCCAGCCAGTCCATGGCCTCAATTTAAACTTTTTGGGTAAGCCTATAACATTATTTAATATTTTGAGAAATATTTAAATACTGTACTATTTAAATAGTTTTGGATATATTGATTTTTAAAAAAAATATATTTTTAATAGTTGGAAAAGGGAAATAGATGCTTGAAAGACTGGGACAGTATACAGAATCTGTGCAGGTCTTCTGATAGTTAGCCCAGAACCTCAATGTTCTCCTGGCCTGGACTGGCCCATTGGGATATTTCTTAGTGGACAGCAGTGCCTGAGCCCCACCAGTCTGTCTGACTAGTATTATGTTCCTGAAAGTAATCACAGGGTGAGTTGAGATGGAATAGTGCATATGATATGTTTAACACACCGAATGTCGTTGCTTGGAGTGGAGATTGCTCATCATCATTCTGCGTAGGGCCTACTAATAGAGGCTGCAGACAGACTTTATGTCTCCTTTCAACTTCACAAGCCTCCAATCTTTACACCCAAATAACACATGCTCTACAACAGTGTGATCATCCATACTGAGATATCTAAGTTTCATGTACAAAACAAATGACATTTTCTGCTACGTCTACCCGAGGCCAAATATTGCCATCCCTTCACTGCTGCGTGTCGAACCTGAAACAGTAAATGTTAAAAGATACTGGAAAGGAAAAAAAAAATATTCCTTTTTGGGATATGTATTCAGATTTACCATTAGCATCGATACATGCACAAAAAGATGGAATGATTTTTAATACTCCATAAATAACGATGCATTTAAAGATGCCTTAAAGAGGTTTCAATTACTTATTTTTACTTATATCTTACTTATACCTTTTTAAATTGTAACCTTGTTTTCGTATGTCAAATTTGTTTTGTCACAATTGTTTGTCTTGTTTTATCTATTGTACAGCACTGCAGAATATGTTGGCGCTATAAAAAATAATTGTAATCATATCTGCTTTGCTGAAATGCTTCCGTCCAAATTAAAAATGCTGTGTGCTGCCATCTAGTGTTTCGTAATGTAATGACAGAATTCTTTGCAACGGAAAATAACCAGTAGCTGGTAAATCAATGACCAATCAACAGACCAAGGGCACATTTTATGAGCAATGATGAATGTTTTCTAAATTTGAAATACAAACAAATACGTTAAATTCAATAGTTCTAGTAAAACATAACAATATTAATATGTATATTATTATTACATTATACAATATTATACTCTTTAAAGAAATATATCGATAAAAACAGAAATATTCTTTATATGCATTTAACAGTTTTTGTGTGTATCCGCTATGTCCTTTTTAGTATGCCGTATTGTTTGTTACTACTGTATCCATTTTGGTTCTTTATAGATTTATTTGTTTGCTGTAGGAATTTTCATGTCCCTCAGTCCTAAGCTGGGACTTACAAATGACCTTTCACTAAGTCAGACTTGTGAATACCCAAGTGGCATTGAGCCTGCTTCTCTTGGGTCAGTGCCTACAGAGCCAATGACTCAATGCAATGACTCATGTCATAGCTAACCTTTTAACCCTTTAGTGTTGGGAAAAAATGAACATTATGTACAGAGGGTTATTTAAGGGATAATATTTAATACTCTATAAGTCGTGAACAAGATACAGTGAGATCATTCTGTTCATCTCTTTGTAGGATGCAAAATTATATATTTAGTCCAGCTTTCATATTAGTAAAAAAGGACAGAAAAGTATTAGAAAAAAAAGACAGAAAAATGACAGAAAAAAAGCACACAGTCTAATTGACAGGCACTCTTTTTTCCTTATTTATATAGCAGATTCTACAGGAATAAAGAGCAAATGGTATGCTGTAGGGCAAATGATATTGATTTGTAAATAAACAAAACATAAATTGTGCTTGTCATAAACAATAACACACCGCAGATCCTTAAGGTGACATTATAGGCACCTACACCACTTCATCTCATTGAAGTGGTCAGGGTGCAGTATCTCTGTTCTCTTAACCATGCAATATCAAAAATTGCAGTTTTATAGAAACTGCAATGTGTACATTGTAGGGTTAAGACTGCCTCTAGGGGTGGTTCCTGCAGTTTCACAGAGTTCCCCGTGTTTTGCATTATTACATTGTAGGATTAAGACTGCCTCTTGTGGTAGTTCCGGCAGTTTCACAGAGTTCCTCACGCAGTAACTCTGGGTGCGGTGCTCCCCTCGCATGTGCCTTAAGTTCCCCCTTATTGGCTGACATTGGTGGAATATTAGTCATGCCACATTGGCGCTGGGATCAGGTTAGTGAAAAATGTTTTCTTCTAACCCTTACATCACCAGTGGGGGGGATAAGGGTCCTATAGTGTTAGGAATACAGCTTTGCACTCCTAACATTATTGTGTTCCTTTAACACAATCCAGTAGGTTCAATACAATAACACACAATGACATTGAGAGATCCAAGAAGCACCTGTCTACTGGCAGATAATATCTCGTAAAGAGAATGAATAAAAACATTTATAGTGCAAATAGAAATATAGCCATTCATTGTGTTATATTTTGTGATATGCACATTTATTGTTTTGTTTATTCATCGTTTTATTTGTAAGTGTGGGGACCAATTTTAGTGTGGCTGTTGTACACTTATTGTACACATTCTGCACAAATTTCTGGTTGAATTGCCTATAATTTATTCATTATTTGCAAACTTGCTGGGCATAATGGGATAAGAAATTGGAACTCCTCTACAGGGGATCGTATTTGGCTTTTTTCTACTTTTGCATCTTTTTTATTACCAAGAAGATTCGAAAATCAGAAGGAGCAATTTTGTAGCAATCCATGTAATTTGCTTGAGAAATCCATGAAAAGTGAGTATAAGAAAGTATGTTGCGAACTTGATACATATTCTGCAACACAGATAAAACAAATGAGTCTAAATACAATTTTGTATGAAAAAACATATGTCCTACCTTTTAGCTACAGACTCTAAATCAGGGGTCGGCAACATTCAGCACTCCAGATGTTGTGGGATACATCTCCCATAATTCCCTTACAGCTATATTGCCGAAGGTTGCCCACCCCAAATCATTCTGATAGCTTGTAGTATTACTTTTCTGGGCTGTACTTATAGGTACGGTTAATATTATATGCAAAAAGTATGCTTTTCAAGCAGTGGGTATAGTGTATTCCTAGGGCAAGCTAATAATTTGATTTCCAGTTAGAAAATGTGTATTACAATGGCAGACTATTAACCGAATAGCAAGTGTAAGCATATCTCTACATAGCAGACCAGAAAAGAAATCGCTAAATGGGTTGAATTGGAAATTGTATTAAATTTAGATATTGTCACCTACATTTTTAGTTTTCAAATATCTAATTGATTGATAGAGCAATATATATTTGTATCATCAGATCATGGAAAATATTGCAACATAACACTCTAAAGCCTTGATTTAATATTTTTGGATAAGCTTGATTTAATATTTTGACTTTTTTATATTTTAATATTTATATTTTTTTTATATATATGCTATATTTTAAAAAATGTTAGATTAAAAAAAAAAAATTCTAAAAGTTTTCCCAAAAATGTTAAATTTAGTACAGCCTGACATATTTATTGCATCATTTAAAACAATTCTAAAAAAAAAATTATAATCAAATAAAGTTGAAGGACAACTGTCACCTGATTTTTTTTTTTTTTAATATAATAATACTTTCATCTTCAGTCTCTGCACAGAAGCAAGGGAGACCGAAGAGACTAACAGTCAGCTTTAAAACATTATCCGACACATATGGCTGAAGAATTCTGTCATATACTAAAAGTAAGGATAAATTTTCCCTTTTTTTTTTTTTGTTGCATGTACTCCATTTAAAGAAAAATCTATGCCCTTTCAAATCTTGATAAAAAAAGATCATTATATTAAAAAATAGTTTTGAAGTGATGGTTGTCTTTTAAAACATTAACTGCTAGCTACACAAATGCAGGATTGTATTAAATGTATGGTACAGATAAAAACTCAACTAGGAATTATTATACCACGTTCAAGGCTACTTGACTTTCAGCTTTTAACAATTCTTGTAGAAAATCAAGTGGCCTCTACTCTTCCAGTCTAGCCAGTGATAACTTACCAAATTTCTTGGTTAGGGGAAGCCAAATCTATTCTTAAAACGTTTATATATTAATCAATGGCTTGCATTTGTCACCTGAATTATAACATTAGCACATTACTGTTCTTTAATAAATTTGTCAACTCCCTCCTCTCCAGCCATCCATTCACAAATTATAACTCACTCAACGACTAGGTGTCATTTATGTGAATAGATACTCTTGGCTCCTAGGTGTTAAGCTTTTAACTCAGCTATATTAATGAGCTAATCACATTGGATATCCTTCTCATTTGTTTCAACAGGTATTTACATTAATGAGCAGCTTGTACCCACACAGTGACTACAGAAGAACGGTAACATATTAAAGAACTGTAATATATTTAGAAATCTGATGTAAATTTCATCTTGAGAACGTATCCTTCATAACTCCAGTATATGTCTAGAGTTATACTTGTGGTAAAACATATATTCACTAGAATGAACCAGTAGTGGTTTACTCTACACTGAAGAGTTTCAAAGGATCAAAAGGACTGTTCTCTGAGGAATTTGCTTGTTCTTGAATTTACCTAAAGAATTTCTAAACTGTGACAAGTTCTAAAAATGCATTTAAATCAGCAGTTACATACATAGATCAAGGCCGAATAGCATACCCTATTTCTTTCATATATTATTTAACCCAAACTACCATGAGACCATTTTTGAAACTCCTCTGTGTTTTATTTTCCAGAAAAAAATTGACAAATATAGGGAGAAGAATTTTTTTTTACTGCGCCGAGGTCCAACGTGTATTAAAATAATACCAAACATCACGACACACATTTTGTACAGAATATGCCTGCCATCAGGCAATACGGATCTTTGCACAGCTCAAACCATTCACAGCGTTAGTGTCTCTGCATGTAACTGGTGTCAGCGAACTATTCCTCTGAGTATGGAGCAAGTTTTGTCTGTAGTCTGCCTCAGTCCCTCAGTGCCTCAGTCCCTGATTCACTTACAAATAGACCAATTTGATGCCAAGCTAGCACAGTAACACAACACAACCGATTCCCTTTCTTAAAATTTCCTTAACAGGATTATTTACTAAAGTAAAAACTGTGGAGAATTCAATAAATTAAAAGACCATAATTACATAATAGATTTTGTATTGTGCTGTGAGGCAGTAGCACACAACCCTTTCTACTGTATTGGCAAATACCCCCATCCTTCTTGTAAGACCCTCCAATTGCATCCCAGGAGATGATAAAATATTAGTTTATCCAAAACCACAGCATCCCTTTCTAACATCCCTTCCAACATAGGGCCTGCTGAATAGGGTTGTGGTGGGTAGGTCCCTGAGGGGGCATCATCTGTGACACAGACAGCGTCACTAGTGATGCCCATCTAATGATGCACTCTCACTGTGCCATCTGGGGTAGTTCCAGGGTGTCACACATCTGGGAAAGAAGGGTGGTGGGACAGGACTTTGAAATTGGGACTGCCCCACCAAAAGCGAGACTGTTGAGAGATTTACTCTGGCACTCACCCCTTAAACATTCTCTGTTATCACACATCATGTACATCATGGGCAGAACAAACAGGGATACACGTATACCAACATGGATAATCATGGAATGATATTTTACCAGAATAAAAAAAACAAAAAACAATAACACAGTGCCCAGCCTCACACATCTTGCCCATTTGGTAGATTGAGGATCGGTGAAAATTAAGCCTACATTCAAATAAATAAAATGTAAAAAAAAATAAAATAAAAAATAGTCAACTGCACCATTATGTTTACCATTTTTAATTACATTTGATTATTATATTCTCTTCTGTTGCAATAATATCACTTTGTTCCACATCTACGTTAGATTATGCAGGTTCTATACAATCCTTCCAAAACAAGTTTAAAAAATGTCTTTCAGATATAATTGGCTTTTATCACATTAAAAAGGTTTGTGTTATATTGCAGCAGGTGTTGTAATTCACGCTCCAACAATTTGCTTCTAACCCCATTTTAAAATCTTGTGTATGTACGTTTTGATATGTTTTCACTTTCTCCATAGATCTTAAAGTTTATCAAAGATGTTTGTAAAACCTTTCCGTGACCCGACATGTGTATCTGGTCATTGACAATCAGCACATGTAATCGTCCTGTCAACTACTCATAGGTGATTTTTTATTTATTTTTTTGTTAGAAAAGAAAGACTATTCAATGAAAAACAAAAGCTATATAAATATGTGGGCTGACATTTATTACTAAATAAAATAGAATTTCCTTGGAAAAAGTACAAAATGACAGATATAGACAGACTCATTGTAGGGTTTGAAAATTAGAGAAAACCTTCGATATAATTACTTAACCTACTTTTAGATCTTTATTCTACAGCTGTTCTTTTTGTTTTTTTACATTTTTTTAAATTTTAAAAAAACACAACAAATTGTTGCCAGTAAGACTAGGATAAATAATTAAAATAAGAAAAAGGTGAGAAAAAAATTTGCTGAGAAATACAACATAAATGGGTCTAATGAGATTTGGAAATGCTAAGACTGTAAGCTGCAGACTACACAAAAAGAAGACTAAGACAAGTTGGCTACAAATGGAAAAAATTATTTTAAAATAATGGAGAATAAATTCAAAAACTAATTCCTTCTCGTGGTAAAATTGTTTCTTTAAGCAAACTACTAATTAAGATCACCAAAGAGTTACTTGATAGATATATCAATGCATGTAGACAAAAAAATGGATGAACGCGCTGTAAACAATATGTGCAGCATTAGCTGTAATATTACACCCTGTTATATCTATATACATCTGTATATGAACAATATCCTTGGAGCCTATATTGATGCACACACCTGTTACAGGTGGTGGGGCTGAAGATCTGCCAAATTTGTAATTCAGGAAAGTATTTGTCACGGTTGCTGTTACCTTTACACACAGGAAAAAGGATACCCACAAAGTGAGGGTCTAAAAGTCGTATTACTGGATCTTAGAGTGGCCAGATTGAATGATTTACAAGAGAAAATCAAAGTCAGGAATAGCCGAAGGTCAGGAATACAGAGATACGGATACACAAAAACAAGCCAGGTCAGGATACTAGAAATACACAGGTCAATATACAAGCTGGGTCAGGATACCAGATATACACAGGTCATTATACAAGCTGGGTTAGGATACTATTATTATTTTAATTATTAATATTATTGCCATTTAAATAGCGCCAACAGATTCTGTAGCGCTTTACAATATTATAAGAGGGGGGATTTAACCATAAATAGGACACACACACATACACATATACACAGACACGCATACATACACAGACAGACACACACAAAGACACATACATAAATACACACAGACACATACATACAGACAGACATACACACACACAGACACATACATACAGACAGACACATACGTACAGATAGGCACACACATACACAGGACACACATACATACAAAGACACATACACACATACAGACAGATAGACAGACACACACATACAAACAGGCACATACACACATACAGGCAGACACACACACAGACACATACACACACACACATACACACAAACACACACACATATACAAAATGTTTAGGTCACCCTTCCGTTTCCTACATTTTAGGTGCAGGAGGGTTACTTTCCCTGGGGTCCAGTGGTGGGTCAGGTTTATGGGAGTCAGAGTTCCCACTTTCACTCCCTCTCCTTCCTCCCACGCAGCTCTCTGATAGCTGGGAGGAGTGATCGGTTCAGTTACTTCCTTCCAGCAGTGATCTCATCACAAGGGGCCCGGTCACACTGTTAAAGTGCTGCAGCGCTGACTGGGCCCCCTGGAAATGCATACCCATCGGGTGGCCCAAACAGCATGGGCAACCCGATGGGCCCCTTCACGTGAAGCCCCGGCGGTTTGCCGCGCGGGCCGGGACAGCAAAACACAGTGGCTGGCACCCAGTCGCAGGGGTCCGCAGCGTGGCCAGGCCCCCTAGAGTGACAGGCCCAGTCACAGCTGCCACCCCTGCGACCCCTATATGTACACCACTGGTAGAGGTTATGATGGGTTTTAAGGCACTTCTTGAAGACTATTCACAATTCACAATTGAAGACTAGGGGAGAGACAGATGATGGTAGGCAGGCTATTCCATAGGAAAAGAGCCACCAGCAAGAAGTCCTGCAAGCATGAGTTGGCTTACGGGTGCGAGCAGCGGACAGGAGAAGGCCACAGGCAGAGTCGCTAAAGTAGCATGCAAAGCTATCGGCTATAATGTTAGTTTGAGGGGTGGCCACAGCAGGCCGAAGAAGAGAGTTAAAGGTGTCAAAGAGATGCCTGGGATTGTGGGAGCATGAACTAATGAGAGAGGAAAAGTAAGAGTGTTTGGTGAGGGTAAGGGCTGCGCTGTATGAACATAATATGAATCTATAATGGAGAAAGTCTGACTGGGTACAAGACTTCCTCCAGGAGGATTCAGCACAACAGGATCATCTTTGCAGGTACCGCGTTGATTTAGTATGCCATGGTTGGGGGCCTGTCCTCCTCGAGGTGCATATTTTGAGCAAGGCTGCAGTGTTCAAGGCAGAGTTGAGGGTAGTGTTATAGGTGGAGATGGCCAGTGAGGGACAGGAGAGGGAAGGGATGGATAGCAGTTGTGAATCAATATCAGCTGACATCTGCTGGAGGTCAATATAATTAAGGTTTCATCTGAGATTAGGGGGGTTAGGCTGAGGTTGTTGGGTGAGGGGGTATTTGAGAGCAAATAAAAAAAGGTAGTATTCAGAGAGGGGAAATTGAGTGTTGGAAATATTAGACACTGTACATGCATAAGAGAAAATGACATAGAGGGTAATGCCAGATACATGGGTGGGAGAATTAGCCCACTGCGATAGCCCAAGGGAGGAAGTAATTGAAAGTAGTTTAGAGGTTGCTGAGGTCAGGGATGGGTTAATGGGAATATTGAAGTCCCCGAGAATAAGGGATGGTATGTTAGAGGAGAAAAAGTACGGTAGCCAGGCAGCAAAGTGGTCAAGGAAGAGGAGAGGGGAACCAGGGGGCCGATAAATAACGGCAATGTTAGCAGAGAAGGGCTTGAAAAGGCGAACTAGAAATACACAGGTCAATATACAAGCTGGGTCAGGATACCAGAATTTAACAGAGTCAAAATGAAGCCAAGGTCAATAACAGGAAATCACAAGACAATCGTAGGAGCACTAAACGTGTTACTTAACAGAAACCACAATAGGGCAATGAGTAAGGGCCTGAATAGGCTTTAAATAGGTTAACATGTGTTTTCATTGGTCCGCATGATCTCTGTGACTCCAAACAGCATTGGATCGCCTAGATGACGTGGTCCCTTTAAGGGCATGACATCATATTTTATTTTTTTTATTTTAAGGCTCTGTAGTTCATCCTGCGAACCAGCAGAGGCTGTCATTTGCTGGCTATATGGAACATTCAGGCCACATGGCCTGAGCACCGGAGCAATGCGAGCGTGCAGTGCATTCGGCCTGCGTGGCCCGAGGAGGGGAGCAGCGTGGGCGCCAGGTAAGTTTGTGACAGAATTACAATGGAAATCTCATGCACATCTGATAAAGGGTATTTGGGGCTTTCTATCACCTGGCGATAGTATTTATGTTCCTTTGGTGTTTTTAAAAAGTATGTCAAAATATTAACAAAGTCAAAGTTTTGGGAGTTGATAAACCACCCTTTATTTTTTATACTGGCAGCAACATCCTATCGCTGTTGGCATTGTTCGAGTTGTCCTTAGGCTTCAGTCAAGTTACCTTCTAAAGCTTCTGTAATCCTGATCCCTAGCTTGTGACATGACTGTATACAAAACTAATACCTGTAAAACAGGGATTTTGTTGTAACACATACACCTGGGTGAGATCTTGTATCTCCAGGTCAGTGTTCCAAAAATAGAACCTGGTACGGTGTGACATGCACACTGCATATAGTATCATAACTTTTTCCATTACAATTCCATTTATACAGAACACATTGTATACATAAATAATATTATATATGCAATATACCATGAGCAAGGACCTCTCAGTTCAGATTAGGTACAATGCAAGGACACATCTTCTAGTACAATGGAACATCAAACTTAAAAACGAGGTAATGTATTGGACTTTGCCACAACCTAGTTTCTCTTCTTCCCTAGCTGCCTGTCTACCCAAGGGGGTGGGAGGGGGGAGTCATTCTGAGAAAAGTGAAACATCATCTGGGTACTGGCATGTGAGGACTAATGACATCCCAGCCTCAGTTACACAAGAGAGATCTGTACTGATGACTGTGTAAAACTGGCAAACCCCCAATATTAATACGAAGGACACATAATATCACACAGAGGATCTCTGACGAACTTCTTCTTATCGCAGTAATCCTTTTCTTTGAATAAAACTCGACTTTAAAAGAGCGCAGACTGGATTTCTATAAACAGAGTGTGTTTGACACACAATCCGAAATGGTTGATTAAACAGCTGCTGCGCTGTTGTCTTTTTATGTGTTTTTGTTAAACTCACTTTTAATGCCAAGTTTATAGAGGAGATCAGCTTTGGCTAACCTTTTGGCACTCCAGCTGTTGTGGACTCTGACCCTCATGAAGATCAGCCAGCCTAA